TAAAAAACAAAAAAAACAAAAAAATTTGTTCCATTATGAACAAGAAATCAAAAATACTTATTTTATGTTCATGGGGATACCTCAACTAGACCACCTCTTGTTCTAATGCTAGTAGGACCTCTTGTTCCACCTATTTTTTCAATTAGACCAGCTCTTGCTGCTAATGAATCACTTACTGAAATTCTATTTGCATTTTAACTGATTGCAGATATGTTATTCACTTACCATTTAATGTAAAGGCATCAACATTGTTAGGTAAACAAAGTACTAAATTTTAAAAATGGGCTAAGTAGTAAATTAGAAAAGGTTGAACTTAGTTTGTGTCACCTGACTCGCTCAGCATGCCCCATACCACTACTTGATGCAATTGAAGTTGCATATCTTCCTCTTGATGCAACTGATGTAGTTTTTCCTCTTGATGCAGTTTTTCCTCTTGATGCAGATTTTCCTTTGTAACTCACCTACCATTTAATACAAAGGCATCAATATTGTAAGGTAAACAAAGTGCTGATTATTAATTTTATTTTATTTTTAAAAAGAGGTAAAGTACTTAATTTTAAAAAATTAACTTAATTTGTACCACCTGACTAAGCATAGCATGCCCCACACCACTATTTGATGCAATTGAAGCTCTAGCTCTTCTTATGTTACTCACCTATAATGCAAAAATAATAATAATAATAATAATAATAATAATGAGGTAAAAGAAAGTAAACATGCAAAAGAAAAAATTCAGGTAAATTGAAATAAATAAATATCATGCCTTAGCATGCCCCATATTACTATCAATCCTAAGAAAAGTTGGTTTACTCAAAGGGGGGCGACCTCTTTTATTTCTTTGGGATTTTTCTCTAACTATTTCGGTTGTTTTACATGTCCTTGACTTGTGTCCAGACTGTAAGCACTTAGTACATGTCAAACTCACACATGATCTGCTAAGTTTGGTTGGTTTTGTAACTTCGTCACTTGATTTTTTCCTAGCTTTTTTAGGCTTACCAGGTGGCTTAGGGTACAGAGGTGGAAAGATCAAATCTGTGCTATATTTGCTCATCATATGTAAGGGCATGGGATACATGATAGGGCAATATATTTTACGGTAAGTCTCTCTAAGATAATAACCAGCAACATACATCTCTGATTATTCCCTTCTAAAAAGTATGGTAGCAACAACATGCTGGCAAGACCAGTCACATCCCACTCCCTACAACTGCATGTTCCCCTCTGCATGTCCACATCTACATTCTTACCTCTAAGATCAACTTCATACCTAGACCCCCCACAAAGATCAACAATACACTCCAGTGATTCATTTTTATATTTATCCAACTGTGTTTGTATCTCAGAATACAACATTCCATTGTATGATGATCCAGCAGCTTTATTCTTTTGAAATCTCCTCATTAGATATTTACGGATCCACTCCAACATGGTTATTACAGGCATCTCCCTTGCTTTTCGAATGACAGAATTCCATGATTCCACCATGTTGTTTATTACTAAATCACACTTTGAAATGGTTGGAAAATGTGCCCTTACCCAAAAATGGAATTATACCTTCACAAGCTAATCATAGGCATCACCATTTATGTCCTTTATGTTTTGGATATGATTGTTAAAGACATCTTCATTATAAGCTTTGGTAGCATTCCATAGCTCAACTTTCAATTGCAACCCCTTAAATTTCTTTTTGAAATTGTAATACATATGTTAAACACAAAATCTGTGGTCAGCCACTTCCAAAACATCTTCAAAGGTCTGAAGTAAACCCTGAAATAAATCAAACAAGTTAATTAACATTTAGATATATTATGTATTAATTAAAATAATAATTTAAAAAATACTTTTTGTTGATCAGACATAAATGTCAAGCCATATGGGAGACCAACAATTTTTATCAATTCTTCCATGAACCATGACCAGGAGTCCCTATTCTCAACCTCAACAATAACAATAGCCAAAGGGTACATCTTGTTATTCCCATCAATCCCAATTGCACTAAGAAAATGCCCACCAAAATGCCCTTTCAAAAACGTTCCATCAACACCACCTATGAATGGTCTACACCATTCTCTAAAATGTCTATGCATGGCCTCATAAGATATAAACAATCTCTTGAATCTTCGAGGTTCAGTCTCACTAGGATAATTACTTATGAATGCTACTGAACCAAGATTGGTTTCTTGAATGAGTTGGCAATACTTTCTAAGATTTAAATATTGTTCCCCATGGTTTTTTTCAATCATCTCTTTTGCTCTTCCCTTTGCCCTGTAAATCTTGCGCATGGAGATTTCAATTCTCAGCTGCCTCGTAACAGTTTGTCTCATTGAAGCATATTCCCAATTTGGATTCTCTCTAATTGACTCTACATACCTGTTTGTAATGTATGTTGATGCTGCAAGATGATTGGTATCAATTCCAGTACAATTGTGGTCTTTCAAAAATGTGTTGATACTCAAACAGCTCGCTTTTTTATTTTGAGATGCACGTATTCTCCACCCACACTCTTTTTTACATATGACAGTGATTAAATCTCTATCAGCTTTTTTTTTTTTAAAAACTTGATATCAAATCTTTTTTTCATTGCATAATGCTTTAAAGCCATTCTAAATTCAGCAGCTGTTGCAAATTTTTGTCCCACTTGAAGTTCTACATCCTCCAAGTCGCTTTGCAGATCAAATTCATGGTACCTAGATACCACCTCATCATCTTTAGACCTACAAAGACTCCTTAACTCATCATTGGGAGCATACTCTGAAACCACATCTTCAAAATCAAGTTCTTTTTCCACTGGATACTCTGCATATTGTACCATTTGATCCTCCCCAAAAATATCAAATTCCACATCTTCTGCAAGCTGAACATACACACCATCAGTTGTGGCTTCTTCATTGAACACTGGAACATCACGTCATCAGATGTGCCTTCTAATGTGAAAACCATTTGCTTAACAACCTCTCAAGTCAATACCATATGAAAATAGTGAGAATCAAGTACAAAGAAATTTTTTGTACTTTCAAACAAATAAACAAATAAATAAAATTAAAATGGTTGTTGGTAAAGAAAAGGGAAGGCCATCATACTATAAAAATGGAAGCAGTATAAGAACAGGTAAAGTGTCACGGGCATGTATAGTTGGTAAAGATATACAGTATATGTAATATTGCTTGTTTGGTAAGTATATCACCATATATTGCATCACAATACTCCTCATTGTGACCTTTAATTTTTATCCCTCCTCAATTTGATTGAATGAGAACTATGATTAGTTACCATGATTTGGATCCACAATTTTCTGAAGACAACAATTATTTCAATAAAAAAAAAACAAGCTCCATAGGCCCACATCATGAGAAGGTATTACATGCCAATACACAGAATAAAAGGCACCACAACTCTTCACATATATTAAAATTTATCACTTGCCGCACAAAAAATTAGTAACATTGAATAGAATCATATTTTAGGTGCTAATTGTGATGGATATGGTTTAGTTTCTGGTAGTTTGTTTAAAGACTACTATGATTACCAGAGGGCAAAAAAAAAAAAAAAAAAAAAAGAAGCAGCAAAATAAGCACGAATCATGAGCAGAATTACTTTTTGTTATTATTTTGTTTCCATTAGCCATGAGCAGAAATTCTTAAGCGATACAAAAGTAAAACTCAGATAGGTGAAACAAATGGGAGAGTACCGCATGATCCCAAAATGGGTTGAAAGTTGAAACATTATTGTATAGATTTTGATTGGGGTGTTACATGATGCAATACCGAAAGTATACAATATCATAACTATAAAATTAAAAAGAGGATTTGATGTTTATGTTAAAAGGCCCCCAGTTCAGAGAAACTGCAAAATAAGTAAAAAGATTTAATTGAACTCAAAAATTGAAAACATTTTTCTGAAATTAAACACTATGACAATCCATAAGTATAAAAAGGACATGAAATGTAGTAGCGAAATAGAAAATACTATTCAATATATAAGCTGACCCTATATATAACACAGCAAAACATATTTATTTTTTCAAGCCCGAATGTTTTATTTAATGTTCCATCAGCTTGAATTTAGTATAGAGCAATACCCTACTATGCAGCTTAAATCCATCCACCTATTCTTAAAACACTTGAAATTGTAGCAAATTCATACATTTCAAACAGATCACCAAAGGGCTATTTATGACTTAAGTATGCCGCTTTCAAACAGATCACCTATTCTTTATGTGAATTAAGGTATACCCCAAACCAAAGGGAAAAAGAAAAAAGAAAAAAGAAAAAAAAAAAAAGGTCCAAATCAATCATACAGAAAAAATCCTACAAAAATATTGATCACGAAATCACTTACCTGGAAGTTGCAAACATAGATTAGTGAACTAGAGAACTATGACATAATTATGAACCCTAGTCCAATTAGAGAGACGAATGATAAGAGAGCAAACTCAGAATTAAAAAAGAGAAAAAAATGACATTTGCTTGACTCACAAAGTTTGCCTAATGTTGACTTTTCGGAAAAAAAGAAAAAAAAGAAAAGTTTGTCTAATGGATACTTTAGTCATTTTGCATCCTTTACTATCGTGCGTTTAATCTATTACCCTCTGATAGTTGAGAGGGGGGGTTTTGGAATAAAAATAGTCAAGGGAGGTTTAGTGGAAAAGGGTAAAAGTCTAGGGGTTTTTTTGGACTTTGCCTATTTTATTATTAAAATTAATCAAATAATGTAGGATAAATTAAACTTTTTACACCTTTTTAGGCTCTGTTTGGCTGTCAAACATAACAAGGTGGGGTCTTTGATCCAAACAGGTTAAGTTTCGTGTTTATGTCTTTTTGGCAAATTTCAGTGTCCGTGTACTTTACCAAAATAATAATAATAATAATAATAATATAAGGTACCGTAGATAGACTGACAAGATGTGGTAACGTCACGTGCATATCCCGTGAGATATTTCTATTACAAGCATATATATATATATATATAATTTTTTTTTTTTTACACGCCTATATATATATGATGTCTTACTCTCAGCGAATTCCAGTTCTACAAAACCCTCTATCAAGTGTAACCCTAGCCTCTCACTACAATACACACCACACACTTTTGAAACCCTAATCTCGGATCTTCATGGCGGACGAAGAGGTTGTGGTCACCGCGAGCTCTGCGCCGTCCGATCACAAGAGGAAGCTCGTAGATTTGGAACCCCAAGAAGAACCCAAGATGGTTGATGACTTGAACTCGAACCCGAAATCGAACTCGGAATCGGACTCGGTCAAGAAAGCTGATGGAGATGAAGAGGAAGAGGAAGAGGAGGAGGAGGAGGAGGAGGAGGAGGAGACTGTTACTGATGGTCCTCCGGAGGCAAAGCGGCCTCGTTCGGATAGTCTAGGTATTTCTCGATATCTCTTTCCTTGTTATTCGCATCGAACGCTTTTTAGGAGGAGTTTTCAGCATTGTTGATGCTTCGGTGGGTTTCACCTATTTCTAGGGTTTTCACACACAAGTGTGTGAGTTCGTGTTAGTGTGTGTAACTGTATATGTGCGTATATGTCTATATATAGATAGAGACCTGAAAGAAACACTTGTAAGAATTCCAAGTAATACGATTGAACTGTAAGGGAATATTTTAATTTCTCTTGTTTGGTTATCATGAAAACTCGGAAGGAAAAGAAAATATGGAAGGAAGTAAAGGAGCCATGCATTTTATTTTTTTCTTTTTTCCCTTATTTCTGGTCATGTTAAGATTGAAAGGGTATTTTATTGGTTTTTGGTTTTTCTTTTTCTTTCTTTGCTGAATCCGTTTGCTGAACACTGAGCTTAAATGTCCATGAATCTATGTATTCTGGACTCTGATTGTTTCTGGAGGGTAGTTGCAAAAAAATTATAATAGAAGTATAACCTTATTGCAAATCTTCATTGAGATTGAACAAAAGTTTTTTTTCCTTAAACTAGGAACAAGTAATCATGGTATTTAGTTAGGTTCTGCATGGTATTTAGTTAGGTTCTGCATGGTAGGCAACACATATCGGGTTGTATGCTCTCTTCTTTCTCCCCCTTTGTGTACATTTGTGAACTTGTTCTATGGCTGCAAATCGACTGTATGGTACATCTCAGCTCGCTTGATGTAAGATGGTGGCAGTGCATATGTATGCATGTGCATGTTTTATGTATTTCCTATATAAAATCTGACCTGAATTCTTGGTCTAGATATAAGTATTGATAATAACTCTTTAATTTTTGTTTGACATGTCTTTAATTTTTGTTTGACATGGACTGATAACAGCTACTGAGAATGGATACCAAATGGAGAAGTTGGATGAGCCTAGTAAAGAGGATAATCAGCAGTCGACTGTGGAGGATAATAACCAGTTGGAGGATGATGAACCAGTGGCCAATGAAGCTCCAGAGACAGGGAAAAATGAACAAGCTTCGACTGAAGATAACCAGACTGAGGAAACTCAGCAGCACACTGTTGAGAATCCTCCGTTAGAAAATGCTGAGCAAGAACCTTCTGGAGAGAAGCTTCACGAACCTGGTGCCGAAGTTACCAAACAAGTGGATGCTTCTGCAGATCAGCAACCCGAATCTGAAACACAATCTATGTCACGTAAAATGGAGGTCCCGAATAATAAGGTGACTTGACTAAATCCCTTCATTTTCAAGTTGGATAGTCTTGATGTTGCAGCTAAAAATTATGTGCCATGACTCATTAAAAGAAGAAAAAAAGGTTATCTATATCACATGTGAGCCTTTATATATATATATATATATATATATATATATATATTTTCTACTTTTTCTTTCATCTTTACTCTCTCGAAAAAGGCTGTTTGAGGGATTAAAAGCGGCTTTTTTCTCCTTACTAAATGTACTTTACTATATATTTAGTTAACGGAGTTTGTAGCTGACTAGCTGTATGGTGTAGCTAAGAACTCTCCTTCGATTAATGGATGAAAGGGTTAATTGTGAAATGATGGTAACTTGTGTGGAAATTTGGTACCAGTATGATGTATCTAAGGGAGTTCCCTGGATTAGTGGATGAAAGGGCTAATTGTGAAATGATGGTCAATAGTCTGGAACTTTTAACCTGGGTGCTAGAAAGGTTAGTATAAAAAATAACACCAGATAAAAATGTTAGTAAGAGTATTTTCCCAGCAGACCAGCATCAAGGTTCACAAATGTACACAAATTCCTTACCTTTTATGGTGAGTATCATGTATTGTTAAGTGTACTTAACATGTATACATTCTGCTAGTTGGGCCCTCTTTGGTACAAGATGGGTCTGGAGTTAAATGAGTTTTCTGTACTTAGGGAACGAAGTTGAAATTCTTCTCTTCATTTTGAGTTGGAATTTAAGCAAGCCCTCCTTTAGGGGGCGTATTTATTTGTATCTTTAGTCCCTCTTTTAGCATCTTCAGTTCTTTTTTTTTAATAAATCTATCAATAGGCTTTTTTTTTTGGTTCCAAAATCTTAAACGGAAGGTAAGCACACCCATTGTTCTGCATTCCGTAACCTTACTTCCCTTCATATAGTTTTTAAACCTTGCTCTTGGTTTTTAGCATTAGTATCTATATAAAATCTAGGCTGTCATGGGGTAGGGGAAGCTGCAATCCCTTTTATCAATTCCTTTATTCTTTGTTCTCTTTCTATTATTTGAGTTTATTGTTTAATAGGGTTGTCAAGGTCCTTACAAAAGCATTAAACTAAAGCTTAGGATTACCTTGAAATCTTAACCTACTTTTTTCTGTTTTAGGTTGGCCATGGAATTGGAGAAAAGAAAATCTAGGCATCCTTTATCATTTTCATCTCAATTTCAAGTTTTAAACTGGTCGCTTTTTGTTTACTGAGACACATGATTATAAATAGTGCTATTCTGTAGAATAGGATAAGTATTGTTGACTTGGAATTTAAGGCAACATTTGTATGAGGTGATATTTTATTGATGACAAGATCGTTATGTAAAATGGACATATGCTGAAATATCAGAAATCACTAGAAGACAAAAATAAGGTAAATAACAACTGAAAAAAATGAAAAGATGACTTTAACTTGAAAACCTTTCAGGCTAGGGTTCTATTTGTCAAGCCTGGGGATACTGTTTACTATAAAAAGGAGTTTGCTGACAGATAATTCTGCAAATTCTGGTGCAGGTTGGGGTTCTCATTGGAAAGGCTGGGGATACTATTCGGCTTCTGCAACACAATTCTGGTGCAAAGATTCAGATCATGAGGGATGCTGATGCTGACCCGGGTTCTGCTACCAGGCCTGTTGAACTTATAGGAACTTTGGATAGTATAAGCAAGGCTGAAAAACTGATAATGGAAGTTATAGCTGAGGTTGTCTTCTGATCTGGGGACTTGATCAATTTTTTTTTTACTATCATTCTATTATGGTTGGCCCTTTTATAATGTAACCCCCCCTCCCCCTCTTCCCTTTCCTTTTTCTTTTTACCGGTTGAGGGTTGTTGGAGCTGTACATTCCACATGATAGAGCTAAATCTATTCTTTTGTAGGCCGATGCTGGGGGTTCCCCTTCCCTTGTGGCTAGGGGCTTCAGTACATCACAGTCTGCTGGACCTGCAGAACAACTTCAAATACAAGTCCCAAATGAAAAGGTTACTCTTTTACACACACTCTGCTTGCTCTCTCTCTCTATCTCTCTCAACTAAACCTTGCTTGAATTTTCTCTCTATTCTAGGTTGGTTTAATTATAGGCAAAGGTGGGGAGACTATTAAAAACCTGCAGACAAGATCAGGGGCGCGCATTCAGGTAGTTGATATCGTATGCCCTTGCTGTAAGATGTATTTGGAAATTAGTAAAAGAAATATCAAAAGAGGCTATTACTATCGTGTAAACTTATAGAATCTTATCAGTACTGATAATTCCATTTTATGTAGTTAATACCACAACATCTTCCTGAGGGAGACCATTCTAAAGAAAGGACAGTACGAGTTACTGGTGATAAGAAGCAGATTGAGATAGCTAGAGAAATGATAAAGGATGTTATGAATCAGGTTTGTTTTGACCTTTTCCTTCTCTTTTAAATAAATTGCAGCAGGTGTCAAGTAGTTACTGCAAATCTTTCCAATTTTAAAAACATATTTTGTTTATCTTAGCTCTGAAATATTTACATCATTTCATTTTGCTACCATTCACTTTTACTGTTGAATTGAAAGATTGAATGCATTTCTCTGTATCTTCCTATGCAGGAAATAATATGAAAGTTAATAAGAAATATGCTTTTTAATATGCTTTTAATAATCATTAGGGTCAGTTCTGATTTCCATCAATTATTTATGTTAACATGTCTACTTGGTTGGCAATTTATTAGGTACCCAAGGAAAAAGAGGTCTGTATAAAGCAGATATTTTTAAAAAAATTGTAACATCTGTAATTAAATTAGACAAGGGATAGTATCGGAAAAACAATCTTGCTCTTGCTTTGTGCCGGCAGACCATCTTTTTCATCCCTCCAAAATGTTATTTATTCTTAGTGATTTATTCTTCTCTTTTTAAAGTTGTTAATGTGTTGACATTGTTATAGAAGGATTTGGAATTCCTGATAATGGTTAATGTGATCACCTCAAATTATCATTTTGTCTCCTAAATAGATATTGACTATATGTATCAACATTCCCTTCTAGTAAGTACCTTGCAAACTACTACTATGATTAGAGCTTTGCTTACACAATTAAGATGATGCCATCTCCTAAGGTCCATAGTGTTACTGTAAGTCCAAGATTTTGTGATAAGAATTTATGAGGTTGGAAAAATAGTCAATTTTGATACTGCGATATTTTTTCTTTATGATGCTAGATTTCAATTGGTTTGTGAAGTGAGATTCTAGCAACCATCCATGTTACCAAATTCCTAATCCATGCTTTGCTTAAGTTGATGACTTGTGATCTTTTTGCTGGGTTATCTCATCTATATGCTGAAGATATATACCAATTTATAGTCATGATATTATGACTTGTGCGGACAGTTGCATATATCCGTTATGGTTTCTGTATATCGTGATGCTTAAACATGCCTTTACATCCATCGAAGAAAATGATTCATTATTATAACGTGGAATGAGAGCTTGATTACTTGAATAATACTCATGAGAGTTCACAGTGTTGATGTATGATCCATGCCAAGGTCACTTGTTAGGAAGATCTTATCATCAAACTGAGATAGATGTCGGTTGCAATGATTTATTTATGTTGAACGTGCCAATTTCGAATTGGTTGACTTTGAAAATGCAGATACAGCTATTGCCTTTCTCATGGGTTCAGCATTGCCTTCTTGGTGTAGCAATAGACATCCACTTTTCACTCTCATCAACGAAGAGAGGTATCAGGCATCAACTCTCGCCATTACAGGATCTTAATAGTGTCTTAGAAGAATAATATTAGTAAGACAATATTTTATTAACCATGGTGCTTTTTAGCGTCCCTGTTCTATGCATGAGAAATGTTGGTCAAAAATGTCATACCTGTTTAAGTCGAAATGTTTAAATCCTGATAGGTTTCAGTTTCCCAAATTTGTTTCTGATGCAATATTGAAATATTTGAAAATATATGCCCTTCCATATGCATTGATGTGTTCATTGAAGTGTTTGGAAATATAGTCATTATGAACTAAACATCATCTAAAAAATATACAATATTATGATAATCTGCTACAATACCTGAGGAGTTGATGCTATGTTGAAACATTTAGCTTCTTCCCTCACCTATTTTTAAATTGTTGGCATCTGAAATTCTGTTTGGTATTTTTGCGTCTGGTGCTTCTCGTTAGTTGTGTCACTTCTGCAATTTCCATTGTAACGTCCACTGTCTTCTTCAATATCAAATGACTTCTGGATCACATGAAATATATATTTATAAATGTGTATTATGTAGGAACGTGCATGTAGTATTCTTAGGTGGTAAAAAAATATTAGAATCATTTTTCGTTTCAGGATTCTGGAACTAATCATTGGCAGTTTAGTTGGTGTATCTTTCAGGGATGAATTGATAATGGTTCCCTGGGAAATAATGCTCTAGTAATTTGATCGCCTTTTACTTTTAGGGAACATCAAGGATGGTACCCTTTTTAAATTTCTAGATGAAGTTAGTTGTGGAAGTTATGGGTAGTTGAAGTTGATCTGAGCTGAATTATAATCCTATTGAAGCCTTAGATTTTGTATATGGTTTGTAGATATGACTGCTCTTGTGCTAAATAATGACTGGTGACCACTTATTTGTTAACTGGCAGACTGTCCCAACACTCGGAAGTTCTATATTCAGATAATCTTTGCCCTTATAATTATTTTTGATAAGTAACATGCGTTCACCCGTGCCTGAACAGGATTTTAACCCTGCACCTCACTTGTTGAGGGTGGCAAATGCCATTCAAGGTAACAGCTGCTGGTGATCATTAGGTTTGTAATTGAACGGGAAAATTGATTGGGTAGAGTGTTGTTGTGGGGGTATCTTTGAAGAAGGTATGGAGGGTTTGATGAGGCTTCCTTAATAAATAGATGAAAGGTTAGCTATTCCATACCCTCTTCCTCCTATCTAGAGGCTAGATGAGAGAATCAAATGGAAGCATTAGTAGTTGGGTGAAGTTTTCTGAAGCTTCAAACGAAGTGAAATATGATGTATGTAGTAGAACTTTATATTTATTACATTTTTTTGGTGGCTTATTTTCTTTTGTATGGGTTATTTTCTGAAATGTATAAATGTATTACAAAGCCTTGCACGCATGCTCGCTAACATATCCTCACACCACAAATATCAAATGAGTTATTGATCTTTGGAAGTACTCCTTTATGTTTCTCAATCAATACTTTGCCATCTCTGGACTGGTTGACCAACTGTTTTGAGTATATTTGCCATGTTTGTGCTGTATTCTTCTTGTAGCTTCAGTTTTTTATATCATCATCTGTTTCAACTACTACTTTCGTTAGTTTTACATGGTTTATCTTGTCAATACAGCATTCTTCCCCATTGTTTTTTCTTTTTCTTTTCAAATATATTTTATGAATGCAATTGAAAGTACAAGTCACTAATTTCTACTTCTCTGGGGTTTCCTTTAATTAGCCTGTAAGGCCGTCGCCTCTCTCTAGTGGTTATAATCAGCAGGGCTTTCGTCCACGTGGACCTCCTGCTCCATCTCAATGGGGAATTCGTGGTCCTCATCCTTCTCAGCCAACAGGATATGATTATCAGCAACGTGGACCATATTCTTCACAGAATCCACAGTATCCACCAACATATGGTAACTATCCTCCACAACAACAGGCTCCAAGAAGCAGCTTCGCTCCTGGCTGGGAGCAAAGGCCTCCAGCAACCATGCAGGGGCCTCCGCAGAGTGGTGGTTATGATTACTATGGTGGACAAGGAGGCCATATGACCGATGCACCATCATCTGCGCCACTGTCTAATCCTGCTCATGCTCATGCTTCTGGCCCTTCCCTTGCCCCTGCCATGGGCGCAGTCCCTGCCCAAGCAACTTACAATTATGGACAACAGCATGGTCCAAATTACGGTCAGCCAGCCCCTTATTCCCAAGCTGCTCCTCCACAGAGCTATGGACATGGATACAGTGAAGCAAAGTATGAAAACCAGGCCCCCACACAGCATCTCTATGGTGGACATGGAGTTCCACAGCCGGGGACATACTCACAAGGTGGTACCCATCCAGGCTATGGTCAGCAGGAGCAGTATGGTAAGCCACCATCCTATGGCATGCCCGCACAGGGGCCAACTTCACAAACTTATGGTCAACCTAGGCCTAATCAACCAGGAGATATGCCTTATCAAGGTACTATTTCATCAACACAATCATATGGACAGATTGTGCCATCTCAACAGCCTTATCCTTACGCATCAAGTGGACCAATGCAACAAAGTTATCCTCCATATGGTTCTGCACCTGCTACTGATGGGTACAATCAGCCAACATCTGCTGCAGCATCTGTTGCTGGTTATCCCCAGCAAGGCAGCCAGACTGGATATGGTCAGCCTGGTGCACAGCAAGCTCCCGGTTATGCTCAAGTGGGACCAACTGGAGGTTACAGTCAATACCCATCTTCGCAAACAGGTTACAATGAACAAGCTGCTCAAAATAATGCTGGTTATGGATACCAAGGGCCAACAGATCCAGCTTATGGGTCTGGTGCAGTTTATGGTGCACCACCTTCTGGGCAGCAAGGCTATGCTCAACCAGCTCCAACTCAGCCAGGCTATGATCAATCGGTTCCACAATCAGGTGGTCATGGAAGTGTGCCAGGGAGTATGCCTGTTGCTTACGGCAAAAGTTTGTCACCGCAGCCTGGTTATCCTCCTCAGTATGACACAACTCAGATGTATGGTGCACATCGTTGAAAATTTTGATATTGTTATCTGAGAGTTTGACTCTAAATAGTTGCCCTCTTCGTAGCTTGCTTCCTTAGTTTGTTTTTATTTTTTCCTATGGTTCATTGGAACTTATTGGATAAATTCTGATTATATACATTGTATGTGAACTTGTTATGAATCACTAGTTGCTTTCCTCTTTTCTTGGTCATCTGCGATGGTTGGTATGATATTGGATTGGGCATATATCACGGGATGTCAGTAAGTTTTTTGATAACTATGGTGGCTTGCGTTGCATGGTAATATGTTTATGCGGCAGGTATTGATGACAAGCTCAAGACCAGAGAAAAAAGACAATATTATTGATAAACATTGACAGTGATACAAGAAGCTTAATGAGAAACAAATCCGAATATAGGGACCCCTGGTATATCATTTTCTGGATTGGTACACCAAATTTGGAGTGGAGTGACACTGCAAATGTAAAGTGCGCATTACATATTTTGGCCTTTACATCACAAACTTTGTTTCCTGAAGATACATTACCCTAAAGCAAGGGCAAGACAAACTAGAGTTTCCAGTTCCAGCAGTAATATTTATGGAGTCCTTTTCTGATTTCTAAACAATCCAGGTTTAAAGGTACGTTCACATAAAATGAAGTAGAAACCAAATTCCTGACTATGGTGTAGATGAGGTTTGCCTTTCATAGTAGTTTTGGAATACGCCATGGATTGATTTCAGGAGAGAATGAAAGGCATAATAGGTTTAACCTAAAAATCACACGGGCGTTTCAACATGGGTTCTAATCGAATGATGTCAAACGGCCGAGTTTGTAGTATTAGGGAGCAGGGTAAGACATTGGGTGACAAAACATCGAGTGTCTGATTTAATTTAGTAGAACATGTTTATGCATGTTCTTTAGGATATAAAGTGCAAAATTTGTTTGTTAAAGTAATAAGAGGACGAATTGACCAACAAATTCAACTGGATTATTAAAAAAGGCTGCAAGTGTTTGTGATATTCAAAATAGGCAAATATGCTTAGACCTCTCCTTAATTTAGGTTAACAAAAAGAAATGAAACCATTTTCTAAGAGGAAGATAAGGTACTTAATTGGCATTTGTTGCTATGAACAAGTTGAAGCAGGTAATTTAAAAGAATGCATGACATAGAGAGGCATTATGTTGACAGTATGTGTAAAAGACTCATTCTTACTGCATATATATGAGAGAGGAACTTAGGATTCAGGCCTTGTATTAGTCTTCGGACGCTGTCAAGAAGTACCAAAAAGCATTTCAATTCATGCCTTTTGGGGTTTATCCTTTTTAAGTTTTCACTTTGGGATTCAAATTACATACTTTGCAGATGATATCAGGATCCATACCAGACATCAATACAGGGGATAATGCACACATTATAACTCAAGGGTAGCAATACCAGCTTATAAATTATAAGGATCCCATGGATTTGTTCTAATTTTTTTTTTTACAAATTCATACCAAGAATGAAATCATGCCTTTGGAAATGCTCTTCAATGTTGAAAAGTGTTCATCTCCTAGGGGTTTAAAGTATGCCCTTAAATATGCTGCTCTTCGTGAGAAAGTCGTACTGATAGGAACATTTGACAATGAAGAGGCTGCTGCTATTAATATGAATGATATATATAAATCATATTGACAATCTGCAATTATTTTATCACGACCTTAACATTACAGGGAATATCACTAATAGTTCAAATGACCTAAAAGTTACATTGATGAACTCCGAAAGAAAAAATCATACACCGACCGTAAATAGCTTTTAGAAGCCTCCTCTTCTGGCAACTTTAGAAGGCGTGCAACCTTTTCAAATCCTGCATGGTGACTGTAATCTGTATAGTCTTCACTAGCTTCAGGTCTCGTCTCCTGGCTGGAGAGTTTTGGCTTTGACAAGGCCCACTGTATTGCCCAGATGGTCAATGGCCGCATGTAACTCAAAGATCTATATTGGTTATCAGTGTTCCAGCCTTCTGGGGTTTGAAATGAATATCTGTAACCAATATAGACTGAGTTAACTATAAAATGATAGTGTACATAGGTTGCTAAACAAAGAAAAGAAACAAAGGCAAATAGAATATCAGTAGGGTGTTTGTTCTCCTATTTATATTGAACCAATTCATGATATAAAACACATGCATGACCATCACTTGAGAAAAATTTAGCAATCATATATATACATAGGAATGTTAAATTGTTATCTTTTAAAAAGGATTGGAAAAAAATAATAAGAACAATAAAATTCAACCTATGAACTAATTAAGTCCGACTTAATATTGGAAGGTTGTATTTGCCCTGGCATATCCTAATGCCGTATCTAACTACTGCAATTTTCTGACCTGCCTTACACAAAAGAGGGTGTGATTCCTTCTTCCAGTCTGCCTAGTGTGAGTGATCTCCAAGCTCTATTATTGTGATTCTACCAATACCACATTTTCATATTTACTCATAATTTTAGTGTACTCGTGTTGATTTCCAGTATAAGGGGCAGTTAAAATGCAGGTTGCAAGTCTGTGATATCCGAAATTAAAATTATATGTATGTAATTTATTGTGCTTGTGAAGGATGCCTTAAAAAAGAAATGCTCGTCGCGTATTTACATAATGTCTTTATGCTTGTTTACCAAGAACAGTGAAGATATTTTTAGGCCATTGCCCAATGCTGTTGCTCTCCGTAATGAATATCGGAAGGGGAAGACTGGAGGCAGACCTCGCCTCTGGTATTCATTTTGCAAAAAGTGTCTGCTCTCATACTAAAACCCGTGTCTCATACTCAAACCCTTGTCCTGAGTCTTGTCACAAGCTTTTACTATTGAACCAACCAATGGCCCCATGTTTTTAAGACAACATAATAGAGTGACTTCCATTCTTTGGTTCCTCAACTTCCTCTTCCTCTGAATTTGAAATTTTTAGTCAAGTTGAAAGAAAATTTCAAGATATCTATGCAGAATTTTTCCGTTGATTAGAGGAAAATATATTGTAAGCAAGAATGGGGGTTACGGGGCCACGGGAACACAAAAATAAACAAGCTGCTCTGTCCATCTATTTCGACGTTCCATTCTATTTTCTTTTTTCCCCCATTTGGAAGCATGTAAGAGAAAATACTTCCCCTTCCACTTCTTTTTCCTTTTTTGTGATTTCAACAATTGAAGATACCACCAAGCTGAATATTTGAATTTGAACCTCATGTGGCTCTAAACCTCTTGCCACTAACATAGTTTTTATGATTTATGTTAAATATTTGAAAAAACTAGATCAGACATAACATCTTTAAGCATTAATATAATCTCAAATTATTAATTACTAGTCAAAAGAATGTTACATGTAACGCTTAAAAGAAGAGAAAATTCCTAAACAGTTGTATCATTATCCTATATTAACAATATTTTCTGTTCTTTTTGAAATTTCTTTTTTCCAGTGTGAAGCACCAGTTGAATTGTTGAGTCTGTGATCGGAAAAATTATTAGATGGTCCTGTACCATAGGCCACTTGGTGGTCCAGTCCAATCAAAACCCATCTTACTCTTATGATCCATTTTTTCTCAGTTTGAGAGTTTTGATTGAACTCGACCACATTGTCCATGACTATCTAACAATATCTCATGTGATTGGTTAGTGTGGAAACTTTCTTTTCCACGACCTATATATATATTTTCCATTTTCAGTTCTATTGTTCAATTTATTGTTCAAAAGGAAAAGGAAATATAATACACTACTGGTTTCCTATACTTTTTGGATTTAGTACACCATGGACTAAGAAAGACCAAGGAACCAGAACTGACACACCAGCCCACCCACCGGCACAGATAAACAGACATTGATAGTGTTTCACTGACCTGGGTTCAAGTTGAAATGAAACAGCTAATTTCATATTATAAAGGGTAAACTATCCTGGCTTACTGAAATAGATTAAGAGGAGGTTAAAGGAGAAAAAAGAACTCACCCAAGGCCTTTCTCGGACCAGGCTGTTTCATAGATACCAACAGCAGTCTGAAAAGCCATTTCCGTCATGTCTTCATGAACCATAGCAGCAGCAACAGAATATGTAACTCCTGCCCAAATTTCCCTTGACTGCATAGCTGACATATCAACTCCTCCATCTGGTAGCATCCCATTAACTGCTCCGCGCATCCCTCCCATTATCTTTAGCACATTGAAATGGTAAACTTTCTCAAGTGCACTTCTTGCTTTGTCTTCGTCAACAATTGGTAAAAGACCACTTGCTCTTGCATACCTGTGAATTGCATGCTTATACAGGTTTAAAAAAAAAAAAGGAAGTGACATTCCAATATTTGAGTATCGTTACACGTGGATTTTTCATTTATTAAACTCTTTAATCAATTTTGATGAACATCTTACAATCAGCCTTCAGGATATTTAATGTTTATGTGCTCAACAATTTCTTCATCAAGCACTGAAAGAATCTTTATAAGACTGAAACTTAATGCAAAATCTCTGAACCATATAAAGGTATACAAGGACTCATACAATCTAGCTTCATTTGTTTCAAAAACAGAATATATCAAAGGGTATCTGAGCTGTTTGATGAAACAACATATCAATGCAAATTTTATACTAAAATGAAGTTCGAAGAAATGACATACTGGTGACATAATTGGCTTTTCTCTCTGGCTTATTTACCAAAAAAGTGTCATTCTAAAAGGAAAAAATGAAGGTGGTGCATGATTCTTAAGCCCAGCCGAATTGGTTTCCAATGCACATTTTACACTAGCAAAGTTCAGATCTTGATTCACTGTTCTACGTGTGACTTCAATTACTTCCTTTTAATGGCCTTCATGCCGCCACATTCTCTACCGATGTCTTCTTCTAATAAATGTGATAAATACCCATAAGCAATAGGTTTCATTTTCTTTTTTTGTAAAGGCACTTTTAGAGTTCAACAGTACTCTTTATTCTTAATAGATAATTATGATAACATATCTTTATTATTTTTTGGTAAGATGGAGAAGGGAGAGGTTGCATGTCCTCTTTAATTATTTATATTTTAAAATGAGCAATGAGGTTTTGTTTTCTACATACAAAGAGGAGAAATCAAAATATTACATAGTTTATAGAGTTGGAGAGTATGTAGATCTAATTTTGGTCTAACATGTCCAAGTACCCATATCCAAGTTTTGGACCCTTTTTAGCTGAGCCCCCATATCCTATAATTTGGAAAATGAATGAATCCATCCCTAGCCAAGCAGCCGTACCTGAGACACTCATACCCTAGTCCAGATAACACAGGATTTAGGCAAACATAGGTTCTTGTTGCCCCAACTCAAAAATCTAAAAGAAAGAACTAGTATTACTATTAAGAGAAAGTCTTCAGTGCAATGGTGATACCATGTCATGCGGTACCATCAACAAATTATATCTTATCATATAAGTAAAAATGTTTCTATTTGAGTGGGCCCTATCACTTCGTGTCAGCATTTAATTAGTCAATGATATCATGTCATTGGTATCAGCATTGTATTAAGTTTTTTCCTTGCTACTAGAATGACTATAGTATTGGTGATAGTTCAACTCACAAGAAGAGAAGAGAAGAGAAGAGAAGAGAAGAGAAAAATATAAGACATCACCAGAAAATCAGTTCATGACATAAAGATAAACACCAAAATTACTTAGTACTCACCAGTGTCCAGCCAATTGATCAGCCTGAATGGATGAACTTGAGCTACTACCACTATTGTCATAATTAAAGTAGGAACCATTCCATAACTTGCCATATACAGCCTTTGCCTTCTGAAACTTTAACCAAAAGTAATTAGCAGATGCAATATCACCGACTTCACGAGCCATGGCTGAAGCAGCTTGGAGGGCTGCCACCCAGAGACCACCACAATATGCGCTCACACCTGTAACGATCCACGCATCATATGTTTGATCAGGGAATCCTTCATTCTCAATCATCCCATCACCATCCTTATCAAACTGATCCATATAAGCCATTGCAACATACACTGAGGGCCAAACAGCTCGTGCAAAACTTTTATCACCAGTGGTAACCACGTCTCTGTAAACTTGAAGAACAAATTTAGAGTTCAAGTCTTTCCATCTGTCTGTATTGAAAAAGTTGTATGCATTTACTTCAAACCATGGATCATTAAGTCCAATATCATGTGGAACAGCACCAAGAACCTTCCTTGGGACCCACTTTCCATCACTCAGAATTTTCACTCTTCTTGGATCATGCATCATTACTGCAGATGCAATGTCCCTTTGGATACTGAGTTCAAGTTTTGGGAACAGCATCAGTAGCGCATAAGATGAATAGAAATGAACATCATATGTGTTCCACATGTGATATTCAATCCCTTCAAGATAGAGGAACTGACCAATGTTCTCTTCACCATCTTGAAGTAAACGTGGTCCAAAAGCAGAATTTGATGTTATTGGAGTTTGTATTTTCTCAAGTACAGATGTCATCCTTTCAAGAATTTCAATAGAGGTGTCATTTTGATGGTCCACCTTAACTGTTTCTTTAAACTCCGATCTGGATCTATCAAGGGAAAAATTTGTGTCTTTAATGGTTGTTAGGTTCTGCATTGGAAGGGATCCATCTGCAAAAAAGAAAAGTGACACATTAGACTGAAACAGGATTTCCTGCCAATGGATTCTGAGGTTAATAAGTACCTGTCCAGATTGTTCCCCCTGCATTAAGATAATAGAGTTCATTGAAAAGAGTGGTTGGGTACCTGAGTAAAAAATTTATACTGTTAAGTATTTATTTCGAAAGTTCAATGAACTCATGCATATGTCAAGCACAAAACTTGTTTTCACCTCACCATTCAGGAAGTCGTTTGTCTTCAAGAATTGGTCTTTGCCATGCTTCAATCTGGGATTCCCAATGGACATGGTCTAGTTACAAAGGAATCACAACAAAGAAACATTTAGATTACTTTACCTGCCAAAACATTCTTAGCAAATTTCTTTATGAGAACAGTAGCAGTCCACTCCAAGGGGCATGTATGATGTAACTAGGTTTGAAAGTTAAAATACCGATTCTCCTTTACATGTGTAATAGAAAAAAATGAGAACTAAAAAGGGTATATGGATTTGGACAAGATCAATTATTCACAGGTACAAGGATGGCCTTTTAGTAAAAGGTTGCAGCCAGGACAAATTCATAAAAAATTTCTCCAGCCATGTTTCTCAGACATGGCATGAGACTAATAAAAGGTGGAAAACTGGGATTAGTTTAAATTTCATAAAAGCATCCTGAGTTATTTTGTAAACAATTGGACAATAATGTTTCCGCCAATCTCTACGTCACAAGGCAACAAAATCCAAGCAAAATTGGGGAAACAGAGTGACCCCCACAAACAGATGACAGAATCCATGATTTTAAACCTTAAAATTACAATTTAATCTGCGGTGGACTTTACCGAGAATAGCATCGTGTGCAATACTTGCCGCTGCTTCCCCACAAGTGCCATAAAATTTTGTATAGCGCCTGTGAAATATTTTTATTAAGATTATCTCATACTTCTGCGAGAACATTTCTTAAAGGATTGTAGGGGTAATGTGCACCCACCTGTTGTAAGTCTTTCCACTAGCAAATTGTACTTCTGGGCATGCCCATGCCAATGAGAATGTAACAGTGTGGACTGTACCAGCAGGAAGAGTCAAAGAAGCTGATACGGCAGCTCCAACAGATGATCCTGGTTCTGAAGGTATTGGAGTTTCATTGTGCTTAAGCCGGTCAAACGATCCATGCTATCAGAAAAATGAAAAAGTACTGAGATTTATGAGAGAATGATTGAGTAATAAACATGAGAAGAGGTCTGATCCCTCTTGAGTGTGTGTGTGTTCACGAAAAGTTGCAGATATAGCTCCTCCCTGTAACCAGATTCCCAAGTTTTCTCCCCACAAGTCACAATGCAGTAATGGACCACATCAAGTCTCAACTTTGTCTACCAAAAAATAAAATAGGTTGAATTACTCAGTGTCTCTCTACCAATAATGACCAACAAACCCCACCCCTTCCCCCACCACCCCCAAATCCAATGCCTTGATTTTTGCACCATGTTGAGAACCCAATGATGCCTGTACAGAGGAGGAGCCACATCCCATAGTAACTACTATAGCTAATTAATAGAAATAATCTAAATTTTCAGCAAAAGGCTCCTGCGAGGCAAGGACATGTGAAAAATAGAAATAGAATAACACAGAACTGAAAAAAAGCCCACGACTAAAATGCCAAAGAATTAATTTTCTCTTAGACATCAACATAGCTAATTAATAGAAATAATCTAAATTACACTCACACCCCCTGAGGTTAGCCCTATTGACAGTCATAAATTAGGCAAGACATATTGGCATGTTTAATAGAAATAATCTAATTTTTTAACAAAAGCCTCCTGATGAGGCAAGACATGGAAAATAGGGAGAGAATAACATGGAACTGAAAAAAGAGGTCACCAGTAAAATGGCAAAGAATTAATTTTCTCTTAAACATCAACATGTTGGATTTTGTATCGAAATGATGATAACAAACTTTGAAATTCTAAAGTAAGCAAACATGAGAATACTGGCATCGACAGAAAGACTAGTCGGGCAGAAGAAAAAGATCTCACATCCTCTGGTCAAACACTTCCTGAGTCGGAATAATCAAGTAGATACATCTTATACACCAAAATCAACATACATGGCCCTGGAGTCTAGAAATATTTAGTCACCTCTTATTCGTTATTCCAACACCCCCAACCCCACTGCATTTATTAGTAACCTATTTTTCATTCCAACCCCTGACCCCCGGTAAGGGAAAAAAAAAAAAAAAAGACAAATTTTTCTAGAATCAAGAAACCTTTTCAAGTCAAGTCGCATTATTGCGGCCCTCATATAAATAATTTTGTTTTAACTTGAAGACAACTGCTTGAACTTGGATTGCTACAGAATCTAAATGATGTGCCTAGGAAACAACCAGGGTAGAAGGATCAAAATATGTTACCCACATTAATTGCATGAACAACCAATCACTTGATTTTCATGCCCTAAAAAAATGAGAAAGAAGCTGATACTAGCATGAAGCGAGGTAGAAAATTTCGAAAATGGAAAAGGACAATGCATTTGTTACTCTGCTAGAAGTAGAGAAGAGGAAACTTCATTTGTTCCTTTTCCATTTATGAATTAAAACTCATTTAGGTAATGAGAAAAAGAAAATTCCTAATTTAAGAAGTATGAAGCATAAACATAATACAAAATGGCTATAAAATTCCAAAATCGGGTTCAAAACCTGATTGGTTTAACTGATCAACATTTTGGGCCAGTAAATTGATCAAATAAATTTTATTTCAAATATGAAGTGTAACTCAACCATATGATTGTCTATTTTATTACAGATCAAGAAAAGGACAAACATAAGGTATTATTGGATCCTCACCAAGACAAAAGGTATTATTTGATCAACTTCATAAAACATATTTGAGATATTTTACATTTGACTTATTTCTGTACTTTACACAGTTAATGATTCATCAGCGAAATTTAAAAATATTGTAATTCTAATGTTCCTATTAGTAATTTATTCTGAATAGGACCTAAATTATGAATTCAATATTCATGTTGTGTACATAGGTTATCAAATTGGTCATTGAAATGTAGGAAACCATTGAATGGTATATCATATAATTTCAATTTTCCACTTCTGTACTTGTAGGACGTCGCTTATTTATTTATTTTATTTTTTTGAAGTTAAAGCAAACACACACACCCATTATCCACAACATGTCTCTAGTGGGACTCGAACTCTCAACCACCCCCATTGGGGAGGAGAGGTCCCACCATTGGGCTAGAGGTCCTTTGGTAATTAGTTTTATAACTATCTAGGCATATTGCTTATGCTGATCAAGTGATCAACTTCACATTTTTCTTAAATATACAGGAAATCTGAATGACTCCGACCTTTTTTATTTGAATCTCAATCTGGGATACATGGTTTAAAACTCCTTAATAAATACAATTATCACAAATTTTACATGTGAAAGAACAATTTAAAAAAAAAAAAAATTCCCCTTCCAGACTGTGCACAATAAGCAAAAGAACTCATAGTAATTATTGTATAATGGAGAGAAAAAATAGAGGAGAGGGGGGGGGGGGGGGGGGGGGGGGGGGGGGGAGAACTCCACATATTACAAACATAGAATAATGGAGGAGACCAACTAACCTCTCTAATTTCATGCCACATATCTTTTGCTGTGATTCCATGGGAGTTCCCAGATATCAAGAAGCAAGGGCACTCGGAGACATGAACTGTATCTGTCTCTTCAGCAGCAATGGCAAAAGTCACAGGAGGATGGCCATTCGCAGTTCTGAAAGAATTCAAACTTGCATTAGAAAAAACAGGTGTAGCTATCAAACAAACAGAAAGGACCAATAACTGATCAAATCAACGAAGAAGAAATTTCTGTTTAATAAAGGAAAGGAGAGGAAATGAACTTGCTTGTGATGCAGAAGTACTCCATGCACACCATCTTTCACCCTAATAAGTATCAACACACCGTAAGTCATATTAAATCAATAAATAAAGTCAGATTTAACATGTTATGAAGCATTGACTGAGAAATGCATTAAGCAAATATACTAATGCATTATACTTGAATCCTATCAGCCAGAAAGATGAAACTCCATAGCAGTAATCAAAATCTAAATAAACTAGACATTTTCATATATTATTGAAAATCCATGTGGAAATATTCTTACATCATCTTTGAATTGGAGTGATGACCTGAAAATCCTGAGACCCCGCCCACTGAGTTCTGGACACAAAATATTAACAGTCTAGAGTAAGTTCAGCTATCAATTTCATTGAACATGCCAATATTCAATGCTGAACCATCACTTAATGGAGATTCCCATGCCACCCCCAACCCAAAACCTAAAATTGGAATATTGTACACACCATCACCTAGTATGAAATTTTAAGCACACTTAATGAGAATTCGGTATTCTATATTTTGAAAGAAGTCCACAGAGTTCGTTCAAAACGGAATACTAAAAGAAGGAGCAATACGGACACTTAATTATGGATTGTCCATTGGATAAGTTGAAAGAATGAATTTTTCAAATCCCAAATATTTAAACTTACAGCCCATGTGAAAAGCAAGGATACATCCGCATCAGTCTTTCCCGAATTAGAAAGCTGTAGGAAATATATGGAGAACAGCTTAGGACCAAGACTCAATGGAGAAATCAAATCATTATCATATTGCATTTCTCATTCGCTTTTCCATACCGTGAATGTAAATACTGCTACAGGGAGGCTGCTCTCCTTATAATTATGAGGAATAAATGGTGAAATCTGACGACATACAATATTGAGTTCTTCATCAGGTTGCCCTGCACCAAAAAATTTGATCAGGATCACCCAAAAATACAGGGTCCATCAATGTTATTAGTTTTTATAAGACTAACTGCTTTCTAATTATGAATACCCTTGTATACAGTCCAAGCCCTTGGAAACAAAGCATGATATGTACATCTCTCTCCATCAAGGTTCCAATCCCAGGATCCAATGCCTGAACCTTTACTTTGTCTGCATATCAAGTTATTATTAATAAATTTGACTGCTTCTGCAGCATTAAACTTATGATATTCATTATTTCTGCATGACGTACAATATTAAACGAAAAATTGATAGTAATATCTTGGGTGAATAAGATATTAAATTACTTGGCAACTTACTTGATGGACTCTGGACTTGCCGCGCATAATACAGTAGAAGATTTGTAGCCATTTGGGCGTGAAACAAAAACCTGGATGAGGTAAGGGCACCAAGATATCTTTAAAAAAATTGGAAAGGAGTTTTTAAGGAAAATTTTAATTTTTTCCCAATAGGGAATTCTTAAAACAATATCAAGCTCTTTGATACGTTAACTCAACCTGCCGCCAAAAAATGAAACAGTTCATGAAAAGTTGCACATGTCTAAGGCCCTTAACTATCAAGAAAATGAAATATACCGCAAATATCAAAGTTTAGATTCATCTGACAGAACTTGAAACTTCTGTTAAGGAACAATTCATCAATTTTTATTCTTTTATATGAAAATAAAGACATTATTAAATTTTCACACTCAAAAGTAATATTTCGTCCACTAACCAATGCATCTTTCATCTACTATCAAAAGAGTTTAAGATATAACAAAGTAATAAATACCAAATAATCAGATTAATTTATCCATTGCATTAATCCTCCTGAAAACTAACATCTTTCTTTTCATGGTTGACATAGTTTGATAGGTACCGACTTCTTCTTATATATATATATATATATATATATATATATATATATATATATATATATTTTCAACTATTATTTATATGCATTGATTGAGAAGAGTTTGATTCAATTATATATATATTTATATATTATTTACGGAGATAATTATTGTAATGAGAGTAGGGGTGCACGGTTCGATTTGGATCAATTTAAGAGTCTACATAGCAAATCGGTGAAAATAGTAGATGTGGCAGGTTAAAAAATAAATGACAAGAATATTCATGATTATGACATGACATATATATAGCATGTGATTGTGTATATTAATAAATTGAAAGAGACGATCTGCTAATTCTGTTGCCATTTCTCATTTTAATTTTTCCATTGGGTGCGTGGGGAACTTGGGGAGGGGGTGAGCGGACAGGGATAACTATAAACGACATCACTACAAGTCTTATTGTGACGGTACTTTTCAGAATCAATATTGTTGTGGGAAAGGAACTTTCCTAGATAAAGTACATACAAGACAGAAATTGCTGGAAAACATGTAGTGTGACAATTGTGTAACATAAAAACCCAAGACTCCCTAAAATATTTTGTTATTTTGAAGTAAAGCCTCTCTAAATTTTTGAGGATTGCATCAAGAGTCCTGTTGTACCGATCTACTCTTCAGCCCTAAGGCCCTTAACCCTATTTCTAACATCTTCAACTCCCACACTGCATTGAATCATGATGTGAGGGCAGTTTGGGGTGTATAGTCGTATGCGCATACATATGTAGCTATATTTACATACATATACAAATTTGTGTTAGGGGTGGAAAATCATGATAATGGATCGTGTTTGTGTCATGTCGAGAGAAGGTTATTATGTTATCCATGTCAACCCAAACACGATCCAGTTTATTTGTTTTAGAAACCCTTAACACAAACACAAAAAGACCTGTGTGACCTATTTAAAAATTAAATGGGCCATTTGAATAACGACCCAACCCGACCCGTTTAATATTTTTACTTTACAATGCAAATATAACAAAAAACTAAAATATTGAATGAAAATTTAATAAATGACTAAAATTTTCATTCCATCTTAATAAAATTACACAATTAACTTATGTTTCATCATAATACTATTAATTGACAAAAATAACCATATTGATTTAAATTTTAAATATATTGGTACTATTAAACAGGTTGATCTGACATGTTTAGTTAAATGGTCAAAATGGGTTAGAATAGGTCATGGGTTAACCTGACACGATTAACTAAACAAGTCAAATCTTTAAATGGGTTGAGTTCCCAAACCCAAACATAACACAATTAATTAACAGGCCAATTGGGACTGAAACGATTATAACACAACCACAATTAAGGTCAACCGTAACCCTCTAATTCCATGTTAGGCTCATGTCCTGTTAACAGATTGTGTCCAATTTTTTCAACCTTAAGTTGTGTATATGCGGATTAAAAATTCTTGCAGGACATAAAAACTCACTTTTGGAAGCTAACATAATACAATTAAACTCAAAGTAATATTCTTATAAAACCAAGAAATCACGAAAAATGACAAAGGGATAATTCCTAAAAAATGGAATTATGGAGTCCTCATGCCAAAATGATGGAGTCAACGGCACCTCTTTCCAAAATGATGGAGTTTTTATCAAAGTCTGACCAAAACGTGGAAATTTACTGTACATTACCCTTTTATTCCCAAACTACCCATGATTTTATCAAGGTATGTATATATATAAATATCATATTCCCCAAAACCACCACCGCCATTGCCAGCAACGCTGTCGTCACTCCACTGCCACAACCGCCGCCACAACTCTCTCTTCTTCCTCTATCTCTCCGCCGTTGCTCTATCCCATCTGTTTTCCCTCTCTGCGATTTTCTCTCTTTTCTCCACCATGGTCTCCAGCCACCACTACTAAAGACCATAATTATATAAAACATATGCACACATATAAGCATACATATGTTTATATATTTTGTATAAGTAATAAAATTTGATTGATGTTGCCTCCCTCAAAGACCCAATTGTATCTACATATATATAATATATACAAACATTCAATTTATAGCATTAGATTGATATCCAACATATTATTTCAATAACTTATACATAAATATATATATATATATATATATGTATATATATCCTTTGTAGAAGTAATTGAATCAGTCTCTCTCACAATATAGTTGCACCTTCTGATTTATATAGACACACACCCACAACCACTAGAGCGACGGTCGTCAGTGCACTAGCAGACTTGCTTCTCCCATTGGAAGCCTATCCAGGAGGAGGTGAAGTAGCGGCAACTGGAATCGACGAAGCTTTGAACCGGCAGCGTTGGTGACGAGAAAGGACAATCCACCAGAGATAGGAGGAATTTTGAGGGATTGCACTTACCTTCAGCTCTGTTAATGGTGTAATTGTTTTCCCAAAAGAGAGATGAAGAGAGAGAAAGGGACCAGGTAGGTGAAGAGAGAGGAAGGGCAATTTGGTAATCAAGGCATACCTTTATAAAATTTCATCATATTGGAAAAGTTGACTTTGGCTCCATCATTTTGGCATAAGGCATCCATAATTCCATTTTTTAGGAATTATCCCAATGATAAATCAAAGTGAAAAACATCTTTCAATCTTGATTTCCCAGGTTTTCTTGCCCTACCCAGTGTTCCAAACTCAGTAGAAAGTTTTTGTGTTTATGCCTTCATAATGGATTCTTTTCCGGTAAATATAGACTATAAAATATATTCAGCCACTTTATTTTCTTCTCAAATATCCCCAAATCATATAACCGGGAATGCCTCTTATCAGCCTTCAAATTCAACTTCACAGTCAAAAAACTTGATTGGCTTTAATTGTATGTCCACATCAACTCCATAGTAAATGATGAATTTGAATAATGAATTCTGTTACATTATTTCATTGCATTCTCATCAATGCAACCCGTCCCTCTTGCTGCACTTTCCTGTGTTTTATAGCATTAATGCATGTATTGCTCAATATTAGCATCTGACTTGCTCATATGCCAGATCGTCCCCAATTGAAATGATTAAAGTTCCACTAATTCAGGTACGAAGGAGGGTTTCGTGACTGCCACCTACTGTAATTTGTTCCCATGACTACAATCACCAGGAAGGCTGTCAACATTTCTGTTTTTAGTCCTTATAATGGAGCACAAAATTTCTTTGATACCGACTCAATGCTAGTGACATAGAAAGGGAGAATATCACTATATTCAATTTAAATATACAATGAAACTAAATTGTTAGAAATATGCCAAAACTAAGCTTATCCAATATATCAACATAACATAATTCGATATAAACTTCAAATGTATTATAACCTATTGATGTACAATGACATGCTGGATACCAAATTGATGGAGGATGGAATACTCTGATACCAAGTTGATACCAGATATCACATGGACTGTGGATGATGAGTATTGTCATCTTGACTCAGACTTTTTGGTGCTATACCGGGGAGAACTGATAGAGAATGATATATGAGTCGCAAGTGATTTTCCTCAACTTTTGGAAAAGGGCCAAAGGTAGATAAAATTAGGAATTGATGTGATTAGGGTTAATTTTTATTTATTTTATTATTTTGGTGATGTTTATTTTTAGGGATATTTTAGTACTTAGGCTTTGTTTAAACATTTGCCTACATAAAGGCTCTTACGTGACCAAGATATTAAACTTTTCAATTATGGAAAAAAAAATGTGATTGTAGAATTCTTTCTTGTTTTTCTCCCTCCATTGTTCTGGCTCTTCTATACACCTCAATCTTTCTAGTCTCATTTCTTCAATTTATTTTAATCCCCTTTGTCTATTTCTCCCCCTTTTCTTTTGCCTCATCTCATCTTCTACTTCACATCCCCTTCTTTCTTCTTGGTTATACATATATTGGTATGATCACCACCCATTCTACATCACCTATAGTGGCAAAATTTGTTCTTTAGCTCTTCATAATGCTTATCTGACAAATATAATTCTTTACTTTTCATTCTTTTGGCATTACTGAAGAGACCTCTGATTGAACGCACATAAAAGCTCTGTTACATTTGTGGAATATTACTCTCGTGAGAAATGAAAAGTTTGCTTCGCAAAATAGTTTCCACTTAATTTGACAATAATATTGATATATTATGTTTTATTAGGGATTTCAATATATGTATCAAGTTATAGCGTCACCCTTTTCAGGGATTGGTATTGAACACAACTTCTGTTAAATCAACCGAACCATATAGAGTTACTAAGAGAAAAACCATCACTTCTTTGAGTAGCATGCTCCTTCTTGCTGGCCTATCAACGTTCTCCTAATTTCTGTTCTGAGAGTGTGCTACTGAAACATCTAATGTTTTCTGTTCTAGTTGTCCCCTCCAAAAAAAAAAAAAATTGTGGTTGTTATGTTCATATCCAATTTTCAAACAAGCTTGATGCTAAGGCCAAAGAGTTTTTACAAGATGATGCAATGACCGCTGACATCATTACATCAACAATCACAAAATTGGGTATCTAGCACCCTCAAACTGTTAAATTGTCAATAAACATGAAGATATCAAAATGAATGTCTATAGTACGGGCATATGACAATATGTAAAACACATAAAAGTTTTTGACGATATGTAAAATATATAAAATCAATTCATAAAAGCTAAAATACCTACTGAAAATTGGTTTGCTAGAACTGGGATATCGTCACATGCTCTGGGAAATAGTTGATAGCGTTGGAACTCGCCTCTATAACTTCTTCCAATGCTTCCTGCACTGAAGGATGATGTTTTTGAGCATCAAGAGATTACTGAAATGGATAAACTTTAAAAAGATTTTCATCTGACCAACTACTACTAACATGACAATAATGGTTGTATTATGGGAAATAGAGGCTCTCTCTCACATGCATAACAATGGCAAGTTGAAGATAGTGAGGAAATGTGCAACCTACAATCATTTGTAATTGTTCTAAAACAATTTCTCTTAGTCCGTTTTGCAAAAATAGAATTGCATGATACAAGCATATTATAAGAAATATTATAGGCAAAGATTAGCCAGAGATCTAAACCAGCTTTTATTTGCTTAATTACAATAGGATCAAGCAGCCAGTGAGTTCAATTTCAATCACAACTTCTCAAATCCTAACTCAATTGAATTTTTGTGTAGTGTGGTGTCCTTTCAGAATGTTTTAACATTTAATTTCATAGAGATAAAGCAACATTATTCATAGTAGATAGAAATTTTCAACCATTTGTAAATTAAATAATTTAGAATCATAGATTCTATGTATATAACTGATTGCATCAACTTCCCTTTTGATGTAGTGGTGGGAGAGTTAACACCCCTTTACTAATAAAGCATAAGCCTTGGAAAGTTAGAGAGATTCCTTATTGAAAGTTTTTGATTAATTATACCTCCTCCAGTTAAAGACATTCCGTTCTATTCTATTACATGCCATGTCTCCTCCAATATTAAAATATTTTTAGGATTTTTAATCACTAACGACTATAAAAATATAAAATTTTATATGAAAGAACAGATATTTGACATATATCGAAGGCAACATAGTTAACCTCGGTTCTTTCCTTGCCCATTTTATTATTTTCTAATTTTAGGATTTTAACGGCATATTCATACATGAAAATTTGTGGCCCGTCTCGCTAACAATTCTACAAATAACTTGCTAATCCATTCTTAGTTACTAATTAATTTTCTTTTATTTTTTTAACAGTATTATATCAAGGTATACACTATCTATTAGGATCTACAAATCAACAATATGACATTTCACATTTGTTATATGGTCTTCTCATCCTATTCAAGCCCAGTAAAGCTATTAATTGTGGGTTACAAGTTTCATGATATATTACTATCTGTTGTAAAGTTTTTTATCCGGATCTATAGAGGTCTAACACGGAAAGAAGAGTCATCCCCATTCACGCGGCTTCAATAGTCCTGAAACTCATCCTCCATTATCTATTCGGTGTTACACCATGAGATATAAAAAAAAAAAAAATCAAAGCTGATATCAAACATGTTTCAATTAACATCAAATATGAAGGTTTGTTACCAATAATTTAGTCCTTTCCACAATAATTCTTCACCAATGGATGCCATATTCTCTTATTTATCTTAGTCATTCTTGTAGAAACATCATAATCTGAAACACACAAAAAATCATTGACTTATCCCTCTCCCCTGAGGGAGACTTAGGTGAGTAACGTACCGCTTTACTCCTAAGTGACTGTATATTAAAGGCAAGAAAATATATTACACTTTTCCTGCCCCTCTAGGAAGTAAGCTTAAGGACCCAACCCGATCTGTCATTATACCTTGAGAAGTAGAAAGAATTGCAATCCCCATCCCACCTAAAATTCTAGGAATTAGTTGATAATTAGAATAGATTCCTAAACCGGGTCGACTGATGTGTTTTAAATTTTGAAATATTTCTATAGGGGCATATTACCCTTGCCTTTTTCTTTGTTTACAGAAGAAGAAATAACCACCCTCAGAATTGACTAGGTCTAAATTTGAATTCAATGATTTTGCTACGGTGTAACGCATAAGTGTGGATAACCTTCTTTTAAAAACTAATTCCAATAATATAAATAAATATAAGTTATTATTTTTCATTTATGTTTTTTTCTTGAATTTATTTTAATAAGTTTCCCCTTCCATGTATCGTGAATTTAGGGCCCTTCTTTGAGTTACCAAACATTTATGTACCAATTTTCGCATCAACCAGCCATCAGCTAGTTCAGATTATGATCTCAAGATAATTTAACCATTAGTATTTACACGGAAATATATATATATATATATATATATATATATTAACCATTAGATAGTGATTGCACTGATTTAACCACAATACAGATGAAATGTCACACCAGCACATGAGCAGTTGTAAGTGATCAAGAATGAATGCCTACCCAATACCACCAAGCGGAACACCATGATAACATGTGATGAGACGCTTATGGAAAGGATCGACTATTCCTGGCTGAAATAAGAGACAGGAAATATGATGGTGGTAGGAAAATTAGAACGAAACTTGCATGAAAATTTTTATCAGTCCAAAAAATATATAAAACATATATACAAGAAATCATTTATGGGTAAGAGATAGTACTCTTCCTTCAGAAGCTGTTTCGTTTACGTATTGCCTCAACCGCAGAATAAATGCAGCCTTCCAAAAATTAAAACGGTATATAAGACATAAAAGACAAGAAGAACAAAATAAGCAAGATACATAGTAGTAAAAGCCCTTGATGAAAGAGAAATGATTGTCATTTTTACATGACTTAAAGGTTCTCTAAATCACCAATAATTTTCTTACTTATTTTCATTTTTCATTCTTCCTTTTTGTTTTGTGTCCTTCTATTCTTCTTTTATTTTTCTCCCTCACCCTATCAATCATGATAACTATAACTTACACATAAAAATTTAAAAAGTAATTCCATTCTATAATGAAACAAATCAAGACTCGTAGCATTGGGTGGTGGGTAAACTATGGCTAGCCCGGTGCACGAGACGCCCACCATTGCGGGATCTGGGGAGGATCAAATGAACGCAGCCTTTCTTCTGCATGTGGAGAGACTGTTTTCCATTTTGACCCGCGACCTCCAGGTCACAATTGAGCAACCTTACCGTAGTGCATAAACTATGATGATCATAATTTCATACCCCAAACCAGGGACTAACCTAGGAATTTTTGTGAGGGGCACCAGCGCGCGCGCGGCATGCGCCATGGGCGCCCATGGTGCCCCGTCTTGGCAGCCTTGACACTGATTTTTGTTTTGGCCTTATTTCTTCGTCCGGACTCCGAATCAGGCGATTCTTGAGTCAAACTTCGTTAATTTTTCATTGTCTATCCAATGGTGTGCTCGGTAGCACCCACATATTTTTTGGAAATGACCATTTTGCCTCTAGGGTTAAACATTGTCGTTTCCAACCCTAGTTTTCCGTATCTTGTCTCTTTGAGTCCTGTGACTTCATAAGGAGTCACGTTTGTGTCTTAGGGATGACGCACGTCTCTAGAGACTTCATTTTCTGTGTGAAAGGACCATTTTGCCTTTGGGGCCATACTTGGTCTATTTTCAACCCTTGCTTTCATTTACGTTCTCGTTAAGTTCCGCGGCCTCATGGAAGGTCGCTTAGGTGTTTTAGGGATAATGTATATTCCTAGAGGCCTCGTTTATGTTTCGCTTCTGCATTCGGGATTCGTTATCAGATCAACCTTTGGGTCATCACAAGACGCACTGGCTTATATAACCAGGGACGTCACAGCAATAGTAGATTTTTTAAGGGCAATATGAAAATTTCATAGGTATATAATTCAAAAAAGGAAAAATCACTAGTATTAATACTAAAAATATATATTAAAAAATCTATGGGGCCAATTGCCCCCACTGACTATGCACTAGGTCAGTGCTTGCCCCAAACTCAAGAACAATTAAAGGTATCAGAGCATTCAATCAACAACTCATCACACAACTAAGAGAGGTCCTTTCTAATTTCGGAATGTGTACTGCTATGTGAAACACAAACATATATACACAATTTAAGGCAATGAGGCTTTTCTCGTTCAAATTACGCATCTAAGCATCTCTTATTTTTATTTTTTATTTTTTTCTGATTCCTAAATTAGCAGGCTTGATCACTTAGAAGTTAGAACTAATGATCTTACATAGCTTTCAAAAAAAAGAGGACTCAAATTTGTGAGAAGAGGGGTGTTTGGGATTCTTTAGCAATGACAGGGATGGTATCTTGCACTGGAGGAGTCGCAGAACAGGTGTTGCAAACAAGTGCTCTGTCGCTACTTGCTGGTGCCATTCTGTTGCCCATTTCATTTTCTGTTATCGCCATCTAACTTGTAAAAGAGTTAATCGCTTTTTCACGATTTTAGTAAAACTTTGGTGGTGAACGAAGCTTGTGGAAGCATATACTTCACTGTTTACCAACAACAACTGTAGTTGTTTGAATGTTGGTTGTGATATGTGCATTCTACTAGTGAATACTTATATCCAGTGGACTACATAAAATTATACTTTTCAATTGAGCATTCGATCAATGCTCTCTGGAAACTGCTTAATCAATCGACCATTTGATCGATGCACATTGCTTTCTAGTTGCAAAGTTAGTTTTGAAAAATGAACAGAACTTAAGGTTCAAATAGCCATTTTTCAAAAAATCTTGTAAAACATTTTCATACACCCAACCAAGATGAAAATAGGTCAAATGGGGTTTATTCTAAGGTCATTTTACCTGTGACCTAGATGTGTGATTGAGGATGTGAATAATCCATCATGATGTTTGCCATTCTGTGTCTGTTGTGTCTTCAATAGATGTGTTAGACTTATACACTTTGACACCTTACAACATATGTTTTGAGTAGAAATTCTCCGACACATGACTCATATACCAAATATATATATATATATATATATATATATATATACATATTTCATTTTCACTGTAACAGTGCATTGTGGTCAGTTATACATTCTCAGTGGGGAGAAAAAAATTAATAGTAGGAATGACATGAATTTCCAGAAATTGAAGAGACCAGTTTATACATATCCTATTGCATACTACAGGTACAAATTTTGTTGCTTTTTTATGAATGATATTAATGAATTAGATGGAACTCTATAATTGAATCTTGGCAGAGGCATCACTAGAACTATTGGAAAGTAGAAGATTTATTCCCTCCATAGGTGGATTCGTAAGGAATGTATTTTATGTGCATCATTGACTTTCCTAGAATCATGGGATAATAAGTTAGAGAATCCCACTAATATAGACTTTCCTAGAATCATTGGATAATAAGTTAGAGAATCCCACTACTATTGAAATTCATTCTAATTCATTTTTTAGGAAGGTTAGTTTCCTATTTTATCTTCCTGTGATTAGCTTTGTACAGGCTGTAATTTGTGTATATAAGCCGTGTATTGGCTTTCTCAATTACAATACAATTTTAATCTTTTCTCCTAAATTTGTCATGGTATCAGAGCACTAGGCTCTTTTCTGGGAATCACAGTCTCTTCAGCCTTAATTGCCAAAGAGAGATTATTTTTTCCTTATCTTTTTCAGGAAACGCCCTGGCCTTCATTGCCATTTTTTTTTCTCTGAGTTTATTCTTTTCTTAAACCCAATCCAATATGTCTGAGACCAAATCATCTTCTGAGGAAGTCATCTTGCATCAAGCATCCGGTGATTTGCAGAACATTCAGGTGGCATACAAACTGAATGGGAAGAATTTTTTGAAGTGGTCCCAATTTGTTCAAACCTATTTGAAGGGAAAAGGGAAGCTCAGCCATCTCCTAGGGACAGGTCCAAAGAAAGGAGATCCAAAGTTCGATGCGTGGGATGAAGCAGATTCCATGATCATGTCATGGTTGTGGAATTCAATGAATCCAGAAATCAGCGACACCTGCATGTTCTTATCCACTGCCAAAGAGGTTTGGGATGCTGTTCGATAGACTTATTCGAAGGCTCGTGATGCAGCGCAAGTGTACGAGATTAAAATCAAGACTGGTGCGATGAAACAAGGTGGAAAGTCAGTCACGGAGTATGCGAATTCACTGCAGAATCTGTGGCAGGAACTTGATCATTACCGGTGCATTAAGTCTAAATGTCCAGAAGATGCTGCAATCTTGAAGGGCTTTATCGAAAAAGATCGAGTCTACGATTTTCTCGCAGGACTCAATGCTGAGTTTGATCAAGTCAGGGTTCAGATTCTTGGCAAGGAGGAGGTACCATCTTTAAATTAGACCATCTCTCTGATCCGGGCAGAGGAGAGTCGCAAGGGGGTTATGCTTGAACCCCAAGCCCTAGAAGGATCAGCTATGGTGACGAAGACAGAACGGCCATCAATTCAAGAAAGTGGTAAGGCAGATTTGTCACGGTTTCAAGGAAAGGGCAACAAGGATACTCTTTTGTGTACCTATTGCAAGAAACCAAGACACACTAGAGAGAAATGTTGGAAGTTGAATGGTAAACCACCAAGCAGAGAGTGGGAATACCGAGGAGGACAGCAGAGAAGCCAAGCCAACTTCATCACAAATCAGCCAAGCCACGAAAAGTCTCAAGAACAGAGTGGGTTCAATGATGAGGAGATCGAGAAGATAAGGGGGCTTCTGGGATCATTGGAGAAACCAAGTGGTGCATGTTCTCTCGCACTCTCAGGTAAGTTTTCTGTTTCTCACGGATTACATGTCTCAGATGAACCTATTAGGAATCTATGGGTTATTGACTCAGGAGCTACAGATCACATGACTCACTCTTCACTAAATTTTAGCACTTATAACCCCTGTCCAAGCAATCGAAAAATAGCTGTTGCAGATGGTTCTCTCACTACCGTAGCAGGTCTAGAGGATATCCATATCAGTCCATCTCTCACACTAAAAAATGTCCTTCATGTCCCTAAATTGTCCACCAACCTGATATCCCTAAATTGTCCCTAAACTGTCGTTCTTCTTACTGTACATTTCAGGACCAGGATTTGGGGAGGAAGATTGGACTTGCTAAGGAGAAGAACGGGCTCTACTATCTTGAAGAAACAGGAAAATCTTATATTGTCAGGAATAAATTACCTCTGTCATTTCTTTCATCATCCAATAAAGACACTATTTGGCTTCATCATTTTAGACTAGGACATCCATCTTTTGGAATTTTGAAAACTATGTTTCCTTCCTTGTTTAAGGGGCTGAAAGTTGAAGATTTTCATTGCGATGTGTGCGAATTTGCAAAACACAAGTGTGTACCCTTTCCGGTTAGTGATAAAAGAAGTTCAATTCCATTTTATTTAATTCACAGTGATACATGGGGCCTTCCACAGTTAAAAATGTGTCTAGCTCACGATGGTTTGTTTCCTTTATTCATGATTGCACTAGAGTCTCCTGGATCTTTCTTCTTAAATCTAAATCGGATGTAAGTAGTGTGCCTCCAAATTTCCATAACATGATTCAAAACCAGTTTGGGGTTAAAATAAAGAGATTTAGATCGGATAACGCAAGGGATTATTTCAATCAAACCTTATCTCCATACTTTTAAAAAGAGGGAATTATCCATGAATCCTCTGGTGTAAACACTCCACAACAAAACGGAGTGGCAGAGAAAGAATGGTCATTTATTAGCTACAACCCGAGCCTTTCTCTTCCATCAAAATGTCCCAAAAACTTTCTGGGGGGAAGCTCTGCTTACAGCTGCATACATAATCAACAGATTACCTTTGAGGGTGCTGGGGTTTCAAACACCAATGGAGACACTTGCCCGTTTTTATCCAGATCTAAGAACAACAAACAACCTCATTCCAAGAATCTTTGGATGCACTACTTTTGTTCATGTCCATAGCCATAATAGAGGGAAGCTAGATCCAAGAGCCACCAAGTGTATTTTTGTGGGTTATTCGTCTACTCAAAAGGGTTACAAGTGTTACCATCCACCTACTAGGAAGTTCTTAGTCTCTATTGATGTCACTTTTGAAGAAAAAATACCATATTTCACTCAGCCTTATCTTCAGGGAGAGTCTTTGGCATTCATTGAAGATAAGGACAGAGACTTTCCACCTGTTCCATTGGACTCCAACCCAGTTTTTATGCCAATTCAACCTATACCTCCTAAACCATCATCACAGATACCTCCTGAACCATCATCACAGCCCGTTTCTGTGTCAAATACTACTCCTATTCAAAGTCCAATGACAGGGAATAATGAACTTCGTGACTCTATGAGGTTTTCATAGGTGTATTCAAGACAGAGACCGGGGTCCTAATCCTGTGTAAGTCCAAGATTCAACGCCTAATCCTGAGAATGAGGTAAATACAGCTCCAGAAACTCCACATGATCATGATATTCCCATTGCCATTAGGAAAGGCACAAGAGAATGCACTAAACACCCATTGTACCCTTTAGCGAAGTTTGTGTCATTTAAAAAATTCTCACAAGCACATAGGAGCTTCCTAGTCAGCCTAAACACTATTCATATTCCTGATACATTATCTGAGGCATTATCTGATGAGAAATGGAAAGATGCTATGAGAGAAGAGATGCAGGCACTAGAGAAGAATCAAACGTGGGAAATTGTCAACCTACCACCAGGAAAGAAGACTGTAGGATGCAAGTGGGTGTTTACAGTGAAGTACAGGTCAGATGGATCTTTGGAGAGATACAAAGCCAGGCTCGTGGCAAAGGGATACACGCAAACCTATGGTGTTGACTATCAAGAGACATTTGCTCCGGTGGCTAAAATGAGTACGGTAAGAGTCTTGTTATCACTAGCAGCCAACTTCAATTGGTACTTGGAACAATTTGATGTAAAAAATGCTTTTCTTCACGGTAATTTGGAGGAGGAAATATACATGGATATCCCTTCAGGCTTTAAGGGAAATCTGAGTAGCAACAGGGTTTGCAAACTGAAGAAAGCGTTGTATGGCCTAAAGCAATCACCAAGGGCCTTGTTTGGAAGATTTGCCAAAGTAATGCTTGCCACTGGATATAAACAGAGTCAAGGGGATCATACTCTCTTTATTAAACACTCAGATGCAGGGGAGTCACTGCTCTTTTGGTATATGTCGATGACATAATTGTGACAGGAAATGATGAGAAGGAGAAAGAAGCCTTGAGAAAATGCCTAATCAGAGATTTTGAGATAAAAGAACTAGGAAGATTGAAGTACTTCCTAGGAATTGAAGTAGCCCATTCCAGAGAAGGCATTTTCATTTCACAACAGAAATATGTAACTGATCTTCTAAGGGAGACAGGGAAGCTAGCATGTAAGCCAAGCTCCACACCGATCGATCAAAATCACAAACTCGGGGAAGTAAGTGAAGATCCAGCCGTTTACAAGGAAAGGTACCAAAGATTAGTAAGGAAGCTTATATACCTTGCTCACACAAGGCTAGACATTGCATATACCGTGAGCGTGGTTAGCCAATTTATGCACAACCCAAGAGAAGTTCACCTACAAGCAGTCTACAGAGTACTACATTATCTAAAAACTAGTCCTGGCAAGGGAATTTTATTTAAAAGGAACACTGGATTAGTCTTTAAAGGCATACACTGATGCAGATTATGCAGGCTCACTCATTGATAGACGTTCCACCACGGGTTATTGTACTTTCCTTGGAGGCAACCTTGTAACATGGAGAAGTAAGAAGCAGAATGTGGTAGCTAGATCGAGTGCGGAGGCAGAGTTTAGAGCAATGGCTCAAGGAGTATGCGAGTTATTATGGCTCAAGATAATTCTGGAAGATTTAAGAATCAAGTGGGAAGGACCAATGAGGTTATTTTGCGACAACAAGTCTGCCATTAGCATTGCTCACAATCCTGTTCAACATGAAAGAACAAAGCACGTGGAAGTAGATAGACATTTCATAAAGGAGAAGTTGAATAGTGGCTTAATTTGTACTCCATACATCTCAACCAATGGTCAACTTGCTGATGTGCTTACAAAAGGACTAGGAAGTGCAGCGTTCCAAGAATCTATTTCCAAGCTGGGAATGAAAGATGCATATTCCCCAGCTTGAGGGGGAGTGGTGGAAAGTAGAAGATTTATTCCCTACATAGGTGGATTCATAAGGAATGTATTTTATGTGTATCATTGACTTTCCTAGAATCATGGGATAATAAGTTAGAGAATCCCACTAATATAGACTTTCCTAGAATCATGGGATAATAAGTTAGAGAATCCCACTAATATAGAAATTCATTCTAATTCATTTTTTAGGAAGGTTAGTTTCCTATTTTATCTTCCTGTGATTAGCTTTGTACAGGCTGTAATTTGTGTATATAAGCCGTGTATTGGCTTTCTCAATTACAATACAATTTTAATCTTTTCTCCTAAATTTGTCAAGGACTACACTGTTGCCACCAACATCGCCTATCATAATGCAGCATTAACCACCAGAACTGAATTCCTGCCACCACCTCTACCAATAACTTTTTGAAAATTTCTTGATAATGGCTGAAGCATTCACATGCTTCCACCTACAGAAATGTACATATTATTTGACTTTATCTAATTCCATTTTTGGTGCATAGTATATTGAGTTAGATACTATTTTTTTTTATCATATTCTAAATTCTGTAGTGCATGTAGCAGAAGCTATTTAATTCTTCAATCTATAACCATCCGTTCATTCTGACAAGTGGAAACATCATTATTCGTCCATGATCCAGTATCTTTTCCAAATGCAACTTTAAGTTTAGTCATCTTACTTGCAAACTTGTCTTAAAGGACCAGGTAACAGCTGATCTTCATGTAATATGTTGTATAAGTAGCTATGCATGCATTATTTCCTTTATGAATAATAAGAGGCATACCATATGAATTATTTCTCTAAACTTGAGAGTAAACTCTGAAAGAATATTTCCTTTACAATTTAATTTTCGTTGCCAAGTCAGGGAAGCAGGTTTCCCAGGGTCAACCTGAAAAAATAGAAAAAATGGAATAAGATAAAAGTAGAGCAGAATCTAGATGTTATTATGGCAACAGTTCGGGCATACTAAACATCTTGTAGTCCAAACTTAAACCAGTATTCTACACAAACCATGTTTCTGTGTACATTGTGTTACCACATTATCCTGCTTGAATATATCACAAGAAGATTAATGATTTTGGCAAAAAGATAAATTACTCAAATAAATATTTACTTTTACAACTATAATGCCCAACAATATTTGTCGTTTAACAAGGGCATGTGCATATTTATTTTTACCTCATAAAAACTAAAATAAAAAATAAATCATATCAGCAGCAGAATACTCTACAATTACACTTAACTTCTTTAAATTGCAAGAATATGTTTAAGCAGCAATACTGATTATAAAATAGAAATTCTGGGTGCAGTTAAGAATGAAAATTTTAACAGAACATCCCTAAACAATAAATATATCACTGAGAACTAAAATATCATATAAAACCCAGGGACCAGCATCCTTCCCTTTAATTTAAGGAGAGCATCGGAAGGCTCACACCTAGAGCTAGTGTAACAAAGAATCATAGTATGGTGCCTAAAGTATTGGGCTTTAAGAGGCTTCCATCTCTTGCTGCAGCACCTGTATTTGTTTTTAGTATCATCACTGATAGACAATTGATGTTGTGCCTGCTACTCTGCCCTAGTAGCAATATATTCTCTCAATTGCAATGACAGGATATGGTCTCATTTATCTCGCTTCCCACTATCAACAAAGATTGTCATGGGGGTCTATGAACTGAACTTTTAAAAATAAATAAATAAATAAAAAGTCTGTTTATTTGGTGATAAACAAGTGAAGCTGGACCTTAGTTTTATTTTCTTCTACACTCTTCTACTTATCTAATCAAAATAAAAATGACCAGGGTGGATGGACTATTCTCAAATTCAAAATTTTACAGCAAACTCATACCTGCAGGTGTTGTTTCATGGTCTAAGGCCTCAGATGCCCTATCCTTATCTACTTTTGTTACCAACATTTGATCTGAGTGCAAACTCAGCAGGATGCAGGATTAGCATTTATAGATTCCCAAGTCCTCAGTTATTTGCTCATTGTCTGTCAGTATCTCAGCGTGTTTAGACTTTAGACCAATTCAAAACTTCTCAGGTGGTTAAACCTAATGAAGTTAAACATAAGCTTTCGTGTTCTTGTTGGGTTGAGAAAAATAACATTAATCAATCTGAGGAAAAATTACAGCAACTTGCCCTGAAAATATTGCGTGTGTGGGGTGGGTGAGGGGTTTGGAATTGTTCATGTGGAAGCATTATTTCCTTGACACAAACACATCAACTGCAACTATATGGTAATGGACATTCATTCTCTTTCTAGAAGAAGATATGGTTGAAGTTCCTAAGCAAATGAACACAAAACATCATTCAAGATCCAGATGAATTGCAACCACACGGGGTGGTACTGCTTTGTTTGACCAATCTTTTTAGCTTTTGTGGATTTCATGTCTCGAACCTATCTTTTTGACTCCAATACTGCTCCCCCTCTCTCCCGTGGAATGTTAGTCACCCTTTGACTTCCCTTGTGCATGGAGAGACTTTCTTGCTGCTTTTAATAACAACATTCAAGATCTCGATGGCAATGTCTTCTGGCAGAGATTTGATTAACATGCATAGACTGCAATATTTTTGGTCATGAAGTCGATAAATGCACAAAAGGTCCTAGACCTCAAAACCACAAATCTCACCAGATCAACAATGGATACTTAAGGAACATGTTGATCCAAACACAATGCATCCAGTTCTGATGGAGTTATGAATGGTGACCCAAAGGAGTGCCAAATTTAGAGGAAGCTAATGATGATGATGTCACACCCTTTGCCAAAGCGCCCTGAGATTAGAGTGTGATCCTGACTTCATGGTCAGGACAGTCAGGTCAAGAATCCCAAAACCTAGCATGGGGTGGACTAGGATTGAATTGCACTAGCATCAAAATATACCCAATCCACAGCACAACATAATATCTCCACGATAGGCCAAGTATTTCTTAACTGTTATCTGTAAATTTCAGCAATATCAAGAATCATCCTCACTCTCAATATAATAACAAAATTTACCCGATCATCATCTATGAGGATTTCCTTATCAAATAACACACCTAATCCTTTATCTTCATGAAAAATAGACATTACTTAAGACATTACAACTTAAAAGCTCTACATCAGATGGTATATTCCATTCCACATAATTGAATATGTGTCTGTCTTTCATGCATGAACACCCAATATGAAACATGATCTAGTCATCCAAGTAATTAATATAGTATTCAAATATAACAATCATAATCAATCACAAGATAATCTTTTACATCAGGTTAGTGCAGAAGAATATTGGTTAACACATGGAACAAATCATCCCATGATTCAATTATCCTCTCTTTTGGACCAGATCAATCACAGGCAGTGACTGTAGTTCACCTGCTGCCCACCACTCTCTCTCATGTTGAATAAAATCTGAGATTCTTGCTTCAGCATCAATACAGAAAGGCTTTTGTCATTGTCACGAGTAAGAGAGCTAAAATGCAAAAGCTAGTAGTCGACAAAATTTTCAAAAGGTTGCTAAACAAAACATGTTGAATTTCCGGGAGGACAATTATTAGAACAATTGCACAGTCAGCTTGGGTTTGTGCAAATAATGCAACACAGAACAAACAAAAGGTCAACAGTTCCAAACGCAATGTGGCATAAGGTAAAGAACCTATGGAAGTATCCTGAACATCATTAAGGACAGTTGTTATCCACTTAATTCATTGCATAGTCAGGTGAATGGCTTACCTTGAAACTATGTGAAGGTTCCCCTTCTCCGTCTTCTTTGAAACCATTCTCCAGCATATTGCCTAAGCAAAATGAACAATAAAGATAAAATCAGTCAAAAAGTGGAATTAATGATTTAAATTGGGATGGCAACTAGATTTATTAAGCTTCTAAGAGAGAAAAATAAAAAAATAGGGCAATGGAGAAACTGACTTTATATAGTATCGAAGTACATAATTTTGACGTATGAAGAGTTACAACAAATTTTCCCTCAACTTCTTCGTAAATACATCCATCAACATAACTTTCTGGGAACGACATAGTTCCCCAAAATTTGTCCATATTTTTTTTCCTTTAAGACTCCATACATCTTGATGGATATTGTATTATTTAACTCGAGAACAATTCATGATTCATCTTCAATTAATCTATGGTTAAGAACTACCAGATATTTTTTTTCTTTCTTTCTTTCTTCTCCAATTCTATGGAAATAGTTTAATGTTGAAAAAAAAAAAAAAAAAAAAAAAGAATAGAAAAACCAGCGGTCAAAACAAAAACAAGTCCATGTGTGATCAGCCATAAAACCATAAAAGATTTTATAGTCTTTGATGTACTACATGCCTAAATTTCTTTATCAAAACTGGTGTCTTTGCCTTATTGTAACTTGGCTTAAAAGCCATTGCCTGTTTCAGAGAAAAGATGGTACTCATTCACTCTCATCTTCCTTTTCTTCTCTCAAAAATACTTGTATACCAGTGACTTTTCATATATACATAACATTTCATATTAGAATTATGTGCAAGAGCACATTGAAGCATAGCTGATTGATTGAAATATCAACAAACACATATTGAATCATATAATTGAGACAAAAAGTATGCATTCAACAGAATGAAAAAGCTTTATAGTATCAAGATTGTTGGAACAATTACCTGGAAAAGGGAACACCTTCCGCAGAGAGGGATGAGAGTTGGTTGATTTGAAAGTTGTGAATGTGTGTGTGTGTATAATAAAAGAGAGATGGGTTCTTGCAAGTTGTGTATAATATATATATATGTGAGGGAGAGAGAGATGGGTAGTTGAGATGACAATGGATATGAAGATTTGAATATTCTTTGAGAAAATTACTATTGGTAGATTTTTCAGAAAGCTGATGTCTGCATGGGTTGTATGCCTATATAATACACAAGCAAAATTGTCCTATTACGTGGAATCCACAATGGAGGCTAAGTGGTCCCACAAATGCAACCCTGAACGCTCATGAAGTTTGGTGTTTATAATAACATTGTATTTTCTTGAAGTTTGACCTGTCTTCAACGACCCCTCTAATTTCGTCATATTCCTAAAAAGAAACTTTATGTCATAATTAAATTGCCTCTCATCTAAATTAAAGTGATGTTAATAGCCTTAAAATGTAATAATATTACAAAGCGTACCATTTTTTTTTATGAAACAAATACCTCTGATGAAATGAAATAGAATTGCAGAGACATCACTTCACATTTTGGAGCTCAGAGTGTCCTATAAACCATGTAGGACTAGAATACATATACCTATGGGTGGATTATGAGTTGCATAGAGAGGCCGACACCACCATTACAAATAAATAAATAATAAAATTTAATTGAAATTAATTCTTTCTTCTAACCATTTTCTCAAGTATCTTTCTTCTCTCCATCTCTAATAATAGCAAATCACCATATTTAAAAAAAAAAAAAAAAAAAAAAAAAAAAAAAAAAAAAAAAATTACATAAATACATTATATATGTATACCGGAAAGCTAACTTACCTCCCTCATGGAAAAGATGAGCATGTCACCATTATCACCAAATCAATGAACCCATCTCCAGCCACACCACTATATGAACTCAAAGTGCACAACCAGCTGCTCCTAAAATCAATTCTTCCCACCACCAGTGGACCCCATCGCAGAAGACCACCAAGCTTCAACTTCTTTTCCTATCGTATTCACCGGACTTTGGGTGCGAAATCGATTGGGCGGTGTGTGAATTTGAGGAACCGGGAGGAGGATTCGATGATGGAGAAGATTGGGAGGGTTGTGATTTGGTAATTGTAGATGGAAATGGTTCGTGTAAGAATTGGAAATGGGTTGATCAATCCCATTTCCCAATAGGGTCATTGGTGGTGGTGAAGAGCCAGAGATGAGGAGTTGGGGCGGTGGGAGGAGGTGATGTAGCGGCGGCGGCAGGTAGAGATGGCGGAAGAGAGACCAAAGACAAAGGGTTTAACGCGGGAAAGGGAAGGAGATGGTTGGAAATAGCATGTAACTTACAATGGGGCATTTTGGTCTTTAGGGATATTTAATTTTTTTAAATAAAGGTAAAAATGGCATTTTACAAAAAAACAGTTTCATGCATAATTTTTTTTTTAATTATAGTTTTCAACAATTTTAATACATAAATTTATTGTATTTCAACCATTTATCAAGTGAATCGGTTAAAAAATAAATTTATTGAAATTTAAAACAAATGTATTAGAAAATTTTTAAAGAATTCGTCATATTGATGCTTGTGTGTCCACGTAAATCTATATTACTATTAAAATATTTTATATAATTTTTATATGATACTATTATTTAATTTTATCTGAAATATTTTGCTCTTTCTGCGGAAGATACTCAAATCCTAATGATCAGTTAGAAATAAATCTAAGCAAATTATCAAAAAATTCATTAGAATTGTACGGCAGTGAATGATTAAATAAACTTAAATTTGTAGATGTCTCTGTTTAGTGATGAGTTGGTATTTTTGGTGAATCTTGAACTTCCAAACATTTTTGTATCTACTAATTTAATTTTTAATATTTTTTTTTGTCTCTAAAAAAAATAAAATAAAACAAGATCTATTCTATTATATATTTTTATTAAATGTACGTGATAAATCAAAATATAATACGATATGTTAAATAGTCTTATTAAAAGCGTTTCAAATTTCAAAGCTTGTTGGTGAGGGTGTGCTGTGGAAAGTTGAATGACAGAAGAGACGTTTCAAAGCATGGAAAGTTGAATAAGTCCTGCCAAGAGGTCCATGATGACTCGATTAATTAAACAATGCAATCATATATTGTGATCTATGACTTGAATGTTTTTTTGTTGACATATATTGCCATCTTCAGCAATGTGATCATATCTCAAATCTGGATGACTCTTTTGCCCACCAGATTTGATGCCCTGGTGGGTTGCAACTTGAAAAGCTATTCTCTCTGTTTTTTTCATCAGAGTTCTCTGTTTCTCTCTATTTAGGCCGAATAGAAAGGAAAAGAAAAAAAAAAGGCTTATTGTGTTTTGAACTTTTGGTATAAATTATATATCAAAGGAAAGGAAAAGAAATGGAGGGCTGCAAATTAGGTGTGATGGGCGAGTTTATTCTTCCAAAATTGGGAGAAAATAAAATGAAAGGATTATAAATTTTAATAAATAAATAAAAAATTAAGGCAGATTTTACCCAAATAATTGTAATTTTTTAGAAATACAAAACCTATGAAAAAAGGTACAATAGTAAATTAATTAAGTAGTATTATTTCCTTTCTTTTCCGCCCAAACACCATTACTATAGTTTTTTGTCTTTTCTTTCATTAATTAACTGCACGATGGTTTATTTTATTCTCTCATTTCCTTTCTTTTCTTTTCTCTTGTAACTAGCATTATTTTTTTATTTTTCCTTAGTGAAATGGTCGGTATTGAAAACTGGTGGTTTTTTTTTTTTTTTTTTTTTTTTTTAATTCAGTGTTTAAAACTTACATTGAGGTTAATAATAAGGGTAAATTATACTCAGACCCTCTGAGGTTTACACCTACATGAAAATTTTGGTTTTATTTTTCACTTATATTTGAAAGAGTGATTTAGTGTTTCACTTATACCCCAAATGTAGAGTTACTTTTAAGTGTAAAATGACTATAAAACCCTTTTGATTTTGTACTGATTTTATTTCATATATAAAATGACTTAACTATCCCAACAGACCCATCTGAAATGACCAAAATGTCCCCAAAACATAAACTGAATCCTATTGGCAGAGTTTATTGGTGGAATGAGCTGCTCGGCGGGAAGCTTGAAATGTCGGCACTGATGACGCTGAAATTTAAGGAACAGCAGCCAAGGAATGAACCAGTAAGAGGTGGGTCTGTTCTGCAGAGGCAAGCGGTGATGGGTGGCTGCTAGCAATCGCCGAATTGGGGTGGGTTTGTTCTGACGTTAGTGATGATGGATGAAGTGATTGCAAGGCGGCATGGAATGGCGAGAACAGGAGGCTATGACCATGAGTGGACGGTTAACGTGTCCGGCAAACTTACTGGCAGAATTGTCTTCACAGGTTAGCATGGAGTGCACGCCGGCGAAGTGGGTCTATGGTGATGATGGACGGCAGGTTCAAAGCGACGGAGATGGCTGGATGTTGATGGGCCGGCGATGGTGAAGATGATGGCAAGGTTTTGAGTCTTGACGGTGACGGATTGAGACATGGACGACGGTACGGAATGGCAGTGGGAACACTCCGTCCAAACTCTCTCCATCGTCACGACCATCTTGCAGCCTGAAAAACTTACCGGCGGGCTACGGAAATGTCTTCACCGCCGCAACTAAAGAAAGAACAGTTCAGCCCGTTCCCGCCCTTGCCGAATAAGAGAAAAGGGTTCTTTTGTTGCCACATAACAGTCATCCTATAAGCTGTGAACTGTCATCTTGGAAAGATAGGAATTGGACAACTTGTACCGAACCTCTGAACCTGCATCCTTGTTCTTTCTCGTTAGCGCTTGAGAAGAGTGTGGCAGTTAGTTGCCTTGCCCCCAGCAAGTGATCAATGGATCCATCTGTTGAAAGAAAAAACCAATATGAAAACTCACTGGTGAGCATGGAGTGCACAGCGGCGAAATGGGTCTAGTGATGATGGACGGCAGTTTGAAACGAAGGTGTGTCTCTGTTACTCTATCTCTATTCCGTCCACTTAGCTCCTAAAAAATTGAGGGGGAAAAGGCAAACAAAATTGAATTATATATATCATGCTGTTCTAATAATCAAAAAAGAATATTTCCACCCAAACATATAGTCGAATTAAGGTCAACTAAGAGAATGTTTTGTGTTTCAGAGGTCCAACAATATTTGAAATTCTCAACCAATATTAGCATCTAATGAAAAATAATACAAAACCCAAATTGAAAACAGCATAATCCCCATTTGCCCAGAAACAAAATTGCATAATTCTTGTATAATTATCAGAAATTTGAGAGCAATAGTAGTGTAGTGGGTAGATTTATTATATATATGCATATAAGTATATATATATATAGAGAGAGTGTGTACAAGTGTGGATGCGTTCTTAGGGACGGCCTGACTTGATGAGGACTTCGAGGTCGACGAGGCCGAGAGACATGAGGCCAAGAGTGAGACCAGCCATGAGACCAGCGAAGATCACAAGTCCTATGATTATCAGCACATACAGCGCGAATATAGTCCCACAGCACGGTGCGTCCGCTGCCATCTCTAAAACTCGTATTTCTCTCTCTAAAACTCTGTCTCTCTGTATCCTCCTCAAGATTTTGCAGTCGTAAGGGAAGGAAAGGGAAGAAGGTGTGTCTGTTACTCTTAACTTTTTTTATAATTATATATATGTATAGTATATATTTTCCTTTTCCCAGGTCGGCAGAATAGCGATGATGAAGATGGCAGAACAGACAAGAGCGGCGCCGGCAGCGATGAAGGTGGCTGATGCAGGAGGTGTAGCGGTCGCTGTAATAACCGGGACGGGATATATATTTGTATAGGGGTTTTTTTGTCATGATTACACATATTTTGTATTAAATAATTGAGGGTAAAATGGTCAATTCACATGTATGAGAAGTGTAAAAGTAAGTTGGGGTGTAAATGAAAATTAAAACTAAAATTTCCATATACCTGAAATATGACCCAACCTCACCCGAGAGTGTCGGTGTAATTTACCCTAATAAAAACAAAGACTATTCTTTTTCTCAATTATTGCAAAAATGCTTCAAGCACATTTATGATATTGTAGAAATAACTAGAAAAGGATATTTTACACCTAATATCCTTGACCGATACATAATTATATATATTTTTTTATTAAAAGTTATTCTCCCTCTTGTATCTAAGAGAAATTGAGAGTTTTTATAACCGTATATTGTACAACATATAATGTGTAACAGTATAAGTACCAAAATATACTTTTTGGATGGATAGATGTATTGAAATAGAGAGAAAGAGAAATGGGAGTTGATTTGCATTTTAATTAAAATTCATTATTTTGAGATATTTTTTTCAAAAAATAAAGTACTACAACCAGACAAGCTTTGAGGACAATTAAGTTGGCAAAATATCCCAAAACAGATTTGTAGTTTTGCTTTGCAGAGCCCACATTAGTCATGTGATCCACTGACACCCTCCAAATCCACAGCGCCATCTCTGAATCAGTTTCAGATCTTTTCTCTCAAACACTAGTAGCCAAAATATGGAAGCCAACTTGACTGCTAGATGAACATCACAGTTCCTCATAATATCAGTCCCCCCACCCCCGTCCTTTGAAAGCCTCGCCGGCAAACGCTATTTCCAGTGAGCACCACTCGGGCTTTCACCGGACTAAGAGGGCATTTCAGAATTTTTATAAAAAAAATATTGGTCAAAATGGCTGATTAGGGGACAGTGTTTTTTGGGTGCAAATTGTCCCCTGATCAGCTAGTGTGTTTCTTGCACTTAACCCTCGTTTAAATTGCCCCTTTTTTAAAAAAATTTTTTGGACCTTTTATATACAGTGAGTGTGTTTCTTACACTTAAACTTTTGTTTAAATTGTGTCATACAATGTAAAAGAGGGATGACTGCTTCTTTTTTATTTTTTATTTATTTTTTTCCCGAAAATTGAGAAGGATGGCATATTCGTATCACTTAGAGTCAGTTTGAAAATCACTTTAATTTGTTTTATGTTTTTGTTTCAAAAAAAGAAAAAAAATTAACTGGAGAAAGCATGTTAGTTAATGTTGGTTAGTTAATTTGCATGGGGTTTCAGAAAAAAGACCCAAATATTGAAACAAGGAAAAATGCTATACTAATACAGCTGAACAATTGTAGGATAAATTTTTTAAAAAAAGGAAAAAAATAATGTATACCAATTTTTATTTGAGTTAAGTGCCAAAAAAAATACTCCTACTATAGATATAGTACAAAACAGTTATTGTATGATATAAAATCTCACTATATTATCAATTTGGTACAATTAACTCTATAAAAAGTCATTAATACCCTCTCTAATATAAATAGAATAATAATAAATAAATAAAAAGGCAATGTAAAATTACTATTTAAGATAATTTTTGTTTTTTTAATTTTTATTTTTCCTTTCTCATCTCTCCCGCACGATAGGTTCATGTGCTGGGAAACCCGCAAGATAGGTTTCTTTGCTTTTCACTTCAGACCAGGGCGGAGGTGAACAACCAGGAATAAAGAAAGCTGTGTAATTGAATAACGCTGTGTAACCAGGGCGGAGGTTAACAAGCTGTGTAATTGAATAAAGAAAGAACCCTGCCTCCAACTCTATCAGCTATGGAACAACTATCATACCCAAATAGCAGTCCCTTCGACCACAGACCACCATCGCCGGACTGAACTTCTCCGCCACTCGCCGTCACGTGCTCATGGGAGTACATCTAAAGCGTTTGTCACGCGCCCCTTCTTCTCCGGCGATTTTTTTTTTTTGTTCTCATATTCTTTTTATGGGAAATGACGTCTTGTTTTTATTATTTAAAGCTGAAATTGATAGCTGTTCACATTTTGGTCCCGTGGATTTTCCCATCTCTTCACAATTTTTGTGGAACTCAAAAGCTTCATATGGCCCTAATTTCTAACCAAGATTCAAACTTCCCCTCAAATGGTCCTTCAAATCCCTAGAATTATTCCAACTCAATGGGCCAACAACAATCCAAAGACGAATTGTTGGTGGTGGCTGTGGATAGGAGAGGAGGGTAGAATAAGAAAAGAGAGGATAAAATAAGATTTTTAAATTTATTTTATGTTAATTTTGATTCAAAAAATAGTCAGACTTATTTAAACATTATAAACTGAAATATGCATTTTAAAAAAATAAGGACCACTTTAGACAGGAGTTTTTTTTTTTTTGGCACTTAACCCTTTTTATTTCAACCATCCAAATATTTTTTAATTCTTTATTTTTTGCTTTGAAACTCATGTTTTTGTTTCAAAATGAATCCCAACATAACAAATCCCAACATAACAAAAACTCATTGCTTCCGCTTCATGTAAAATAAAATAGAAAAGAGCATTTTAATTTTTATGATTTCAGATCTTCTAATTTCATCACATCTTATAACAGTTTTCAACATGAAAAAGGTCAATGAAATGCATAGGAGATGATGGTACATGATGATTAACATATATATATATATATATATATATATATATATAATTGGCTGTAACTGTTCTACTTGTTTGGTGGGATCAGTCAGTTGGCAATGGGTCTGCATCACTTTTCCTTTTCGTTTTGTTTTTTTTGGTGACAATAATGCGTTTGTCTGTACTATGTATCATAACAAAACTTCGAACGGAGCCACTTCATATAGTAATATTTTGTTCCCAGGAAATTCAGCCATTTCATATATATGGATCACTTCATATACACACACACACATACAAGCGGTTATAAATATTTTATTCAAAGATTGCTTTTAAAGTTGAACAAAAGATTGTGACAGAAAGTTGTTAGGTAGGATGATCATTAATTTTTCTATATATTCTCCCCCTCCATTTCATAAGGAATGAAGTAGGGCCTGTTTGGTTGGCCTTTTTCTTTCCATGTTTTTGTTGTGGGCCAATTATTTATTTATTTTTTAGATAAAGGGCCAATTATTGTAGCAGCTAGGGAATTTTTTTAAATACTATATCAGTGTTTTTGGTCACGGAATTGGTAAATGATGTTTTGTTTTGTATGGTGTCGAAATCTTAGTCAAATAATATTTCTTAATAGTTGTCGTTCTTACGCTTCAAGCGAATTCTTGCTCTCACACCCCAAACGCACTCTCCCTCAAATTCTTAATGCTAATGACTTAATTCTGCCACTCTCATGCTTCCGCTCTCGAATTCGTTCTTACTCCCACTCCCGCTTTGTGAGACTTGGGTCGAAATGTTTTGTGAATATTAAATCAATGTTGAAACATTAATTTGGTATTTTTACATGTTTACGTGACAACGACTACGATAACAATGAACTATACCCAATTTTTTTTTTTTTTAACCAAAAAAAAAAAAACTCTAAAATGACCTTTTAAAACTATCCATTATATTTTTCAATCGTGCAACAATTTTTTACCAAATATATTTTTATGTTTTTGCTTCCAAAAATCTTGTAATAATTAGATGTTATCAAATATGCTTCTCATTACTATTAAACACTCTACAACAAAAAAACGTTGTTTCTGTTTCGATTTAAAACAAAAATGCAAAACGTTTCTGGTTACCAGTATTTTTCTATTTTAATATGAGTTCTCAATTGTATTTTTCTTAATATTGTCTAAATGAGTAAATGAGCTTTATTTTTCAATGGGTCTAAACTTTCAAGGTTTCTTAATAAAGGCATTCTGGAATTCTCAATTGGGCTCTTATTTTTCATGGGTCTAAATGGGCTCATATTTTTCAATGGGTCTAAATGGACTTATTTGTCATCCTTAAATATGTATTTTTCTTAATTAGGATTTTATTTTAGCAAATTTTTTAATATTAATATTTTTGTTCTCGATGGGCTTTATTTTTCTATTCAGATTTGGGCTTGTTTCAACCGTTTTAAAAGGTCCGTTAAATATTTAATTGGGCTTGGGATTGTGGGCCACCAAAATATTTTATAGACTTGGGTCGGAGGACTAACTGATTTTTCAAACTCACTACAAAGAATGGGCCATTGCAACAGCTATTTGTAATACCCCATTGGGCTATAATCTATTTGTTCAAACTAGAAATGCTCTGTTTTTTCATGTCCGTCAATCAACAAGAGACTGCATTCTCAATATTTCTTTGAATATGAATAAGAGGAGTCTCAATTTTTTCAAATAATCTATTTTTCCTCTCCTGTCAGATAAATACACAGTTTTTTTTTTTTTTTTCAATAACCGGGATGTCACCCTTGAGACCACTCTCAAATATTTTTTTTTGATAATTATTTGGTGCATGTGAGATATGAGAATGCGTATCTTCAACAGATACAACCATCATCGTTGAAATTTTCTTATAATTTTGAAAAGATGAACGGTATGTCTCACCCAAAAATTGAATTTGGGTACTTCAAATTATTGCCATTGAAGTAGTTTCATATTTTTAATATTCAATGTTGGTGATTAGCTCCCTTTTTAAAAAAAATATATTGGACCTTCTGTTTGGGTCATAATTTAGTGACTAAGAAAAGTATATTCTTGTTAATGAATTGGTTCAGCCTTGGGACATTCGTCTAAATAATAAAACAGAAAATCTTGATTTGACAGCTATTGTTATTATTTTTCCTGATAAAAAAAATAAATAAAAAAATACTGTTATTATTATTATTAATGCTTTATTCAATGAAAATAATTTGGTAATTGAGCCCTTGACTACTATTTCAGATTTCATTGTAAAATTCACACATAATCCTCTTTAAAAAGTGTCATATTTGTGTAGAAGAAACTTCATTTTTCTTTTTCTTTTTTACTTTTTAATTCTCTATAGAATTCTAATTCTGCCGACCCTGGGTTGACTAAATAAAATTAATTGATATGGAATTAAGAAAGTGATATTTTTGTTTTTCTTCATCATCCAGCAGATCTCATTGATGAACATGAAAAATAAATAATAGTGATTGACAGTTGGGACTGAAACTAGGTCATTTATTTTTATTTTTATATTTATAAGCTATTTGTTTGTTTCTTTGATTATGAACTAGGAAGGTGGAGGTTGATTTCCCTTCAAATAATCCATTCATTTTTTTGTCCCTTTAATAGTAAACAATTATTTGACCAAGAAACATCAAAGACAAGTATAGAAAAATTATTTTTTATCATAAACAATTATTTTTGTTTTTTGCTTTTGGAATAAGTTTCTGTCTTAATTTACATGGTGAAGAAACTTATATTAGGATATATATTTAAAGGAGGTTGGCCAAATACTAGAAGCAGAAAAGGGAGACAAGTAAAGGAGAGAGCTAGGTCTTGCTCTACTGCCCAGCATTTTTCATTCAGTGACTCACTCCACCCTTGATTGGTATGCGACTTCAACTCAATTTAGTGAATTAATTGTCCTTTATTTGCCTAAACTTGGGGCGCGGAGTATTTGAGATTATTTGTACTAAATTTTCTCCATTACCAAATTCAAGATCCCAATTTGGTGCCATCAAACATAACAAAAGTAATTTTCTGATATGTTTGTGCATTCTCTCAAAGTAGTTCTCTTTTTCATAATTAGAAAAACAAAATAGAGTAACATTTATATTCCTACATGTGTGTAGAGATATAAGTAGATTTTAATAGACAATATATATATATATATATATATATATATATGTATGTATGTATTTATGGTCACAATTTTTGGGTTTTATAGAAGGTGATTCAGAAATTCTGTTGAGAGGGAGTTCGGATCAGATTGAATTTATTACAAAATGGCAAATCAAAATTTTTATTTATTATATATATATATATATATATATATATTTGGGTCTATTATGTCCATTTTAGTTTTGGATGATTGGTGCAGTAGGAAAGAATTTGGGAAGAAGAGGAGAAACTGATAGTTCATTTAAGTATCAATTTGGTTTGAATAACTGATAGCTCATTTAACTTGGAATATATTTTACAATTTTTATTTATTTATTTATTTTTGTAGTTACTTGATAGAGGTATCAACTTATCTTGTTTAAAAAAACCATCCCTCTTCTTCTGTGTTTTCTGAATCAAGCCTTAACCAGGTTTGTTCAAAACCTGGAACATCTAATTATGTTTGAGCCATCTGTATCTCTAGACTACTGTTCATTAATTCATATATTATTACATTTACAGTTTAGTTAACTGTCAAGTTAAAATTAGATTTTCAAATTTTGATTCCAAAAACTTTTATTTTCTTAGATTTTTTTTCGTAGCTAAAGATTTGCATAGATCATTGTTGTACAAGTATGCTCATGCTCGCAACAGTTGCAAATAGATATATTATGAAATTGACATATTAAACAGGAAATTAAAACTAACAACAAAGGCTAATTAACATTCACAAATGCACATTCAACAAAAAAAAAAAAACATTCACAAATGCAGTCAAATGGTACATTCATTATAATTGAACACACAGCCGGATTGAATAGTCGTATTGTTTTTACTCTCAGAGATGTCCTACGCCTACTACAATCCCCCTCCACCAGAAGTTAGTGGCGGGACAATAGCAGCTGGTAAGTTCCTATACAGAAATGAACATTAGGGCTTGCTTGGTTTGTAACTCTGAAAATAGTTTTTTGTTTTTAGTGTTTTTTGAAAATTCGTTTTCCTGTTTTCTGAATTCTTGAGAACTGTTTTAAGAATTCTTGAGAATTTTTTTCAGAGATACAAACCAAGTAGGTTTCGTTGACATCGAAATTGAGCCTTAAAAGTCACCATTTTTGAGTTGTTTGAATTTGCAGCCACAATAGTGAGTTTGATAATACTGGTAATTATCGGCATTGTTTCTTGCTATTGTGCAAAGAAGATGAGAAAAGCAATCATAACAGAACTACAAGTAGCAGTTGCTCCACCACCACCACCACTCAATGCAGTTCAAGTTTGGCAAGTCGATGGACCTACAATGCAGAGGATCCTGGAAGACCTAGCAGGAGACAAACCGGTTCGATTCACAGCTCAGGAGCTATGCAACTTCACGAATAATTACTCGACAACGTTGGGGTGTGGAGGTTTTGGGATAGTTTACAAAGGACAGTTTCCAACTGGAATGAAGATTGCAGTGAAAGTCCTCAACAGGAGCTCAGACAAAACAGCTCAAGAGCAGTTCACGGCTGAGGTTGCCATTATTGGCAAAACCTACCACATAAATCTAGTTAGGCTCTACGGATTTTGCTATGATCATTTCATGAGTGCATTGGTGTACGAGTACATGGAAAACGGGTCTCTTGATAAGTACTTGTTTAGTGACACACAAGCAATTGAGTTGGAGAAGCTATATGAAATTGCAATTGGTACAGCCAAAGGAATTGCTTACTTACACGAAGAATGTCAGCAAAGAATCATTCACTATGACATCAAGCCCGGTAATGTCCTCCTCGACCAAAACTTCCATCCTAAGGTTGCAGATTTCGGCCTAGCAAAGCTTTGCAATAGAGATGACACTCACATTACTATGACAGGATATAGGGGGACTCCCGGTTACTCTGCACCGGAGTTTCAACTCAAGAATTTTCCCATCACTTACAAATGCGATGTTTATAGCTATGGTATGTTGTTGTTTGAGATAGTGGGACGGAGGAGGAATGCTAAAGTTGGTTCTACTGATAGCCTGAATTGGTTTCCAAAACATGTTTGGGACGAGTATGAGAAGAACGAATTAACAACGATGACAGTGTCTTGTGGGATTGAAGAGAAGGATAGGGAGAAAGCAGAGAGAATGTGTATGGTAGCATTGTGGTGTGCTCAAGACTCACCTGAGGCTAGGCCTCCAATGAGTGCCGTGGTGAAGATGTTGGAGGGAGGAGTGGACATAAAGCCGCCTCCTAGACCATTTCACTACCTGTTTTCAGTAGGCATGCTCAATCCTGTGGCCGGCACTGGCAACACTTCAGGCTACTCAACAAGCGAGGGAACTAATTCGTATTGGTACAAGGACTCGACGCCAATCATGACCAAATACGAGATACAAATGGCTAGTTCTTCATCATATACTTGAATTTAATTTTTCCTATCTTGGTTAAAGATCTTAGACATGTAATACTTTGATAAAATGTTCTTTTTAGTGGTAGATATGTTTGATATTTGGTTTAATCTTAACAACCACATTTGTCTTTCGAGATTCATGGTACTTGTTTGCTGAGGCAACACCTTGATTCAATGTTCAGAATACCTTTAACATTGGTAGCTCATATGTTCTTCCTTGAGAGCCCTCTAATTTGTTGTACGATTCTCATATTTGATTGGTTAATTTTTTGGTTTTTGTAGACATGCATTGTTGTTCAAGAAGCAAGAAGTATTAAATAAGGTTAAAGCTATTTTTGCTTGTTATTAATGCATACTTCAGAGTGAACATTTTTGAAGCTCTTCTATATAAAATCGTTCCACAAATAAGAAGCTCTTTCTGAACTCGTCTAAAGTTGGAGCTGGTTCGAGCACCAGGCTGGTATACATATTTTTGTAAAAATAGAAAAAACAATTTAAACTTGAACATATTTAGAATAAATTTGGTAAAAATATTTTAAATATTGACAAATACTTAACAATCATAATAACAAAAATTGTTAAAAAAAAAAAAAAAGAAGGAAAAAGAAAAAGAAAAATTTTATCTAATAAATTTTTTTCTTTTTCTATATATAGTTATTACTAATTCAAACAAATTTGGACTTTAATTTTTATTCACACCCATCTCTAATCTTGTTAAGATGATTATAGACTTGTCCCAATGGAAACAAGTTTACGAGTTAAATTGACGGGTTGCCTGTAACGACCCGAACCATGGGTCCAAATCGTTTTTCGGTTCCTTACCCGAACCCGAGTACTCGTAATAGTTAAATAGTCATTCACTTTCCCAAAACACTATTAATACATTGTACGAGGTGTACACGGTCATCAAATGAGGGTAATATAGGAAAAGAAAAATAGAAGTGTCAAGTTACAGGAATCCGTCGACGTGAAGTGGTAACACGTAGACTGACTGAAGGATATCGGTCAACGTGAAGTGGTTACAAGTTGACCGGTTTGTCCTAACAACAATGTTTTGGCTACTGTTCACATACCGGTAGACGTGTGGGCATGAACACGTCGACCGAAATGTGCTTTCCTAATTAGCATTGCTCATTTAACTGCCCACCAAGTTGCAACTAATCTACTAAAGCTCCTGTAAGCATTGCTCCTTTAACTGCCCACCAAGTTGCAACCAATTTACTGAATCTTAACCACTACCACACCACCAAATCACCATGATACTATAACATCATTGTAAGTATACACTTACATGAAAATATCATAATAATTATTTTATTCTTACGTAAATAAATTAAACAATACAAATATAACTTTATAGCCATATGTCCCAAAACTATATAGCTATAATTTCAAGGTCTCATGACCCAAAAATACATTGCAACATACAATGACAGAAACCTCCTTTTTGAAATAAAATTCATTTACAAATATTCCACGCCATACATTAGATTACAAAATAATATTTAGAAATAATAAATACAAACCCAAAAGAGTAAATCTCTGTTGCCATTGCAACGATTACAAAATAATACAAGTTTAGCACAAGGCTTTACAAAATTTACATTGATTACAAAAGAAATCAAATGGTCTCTCTAATCCCATCTTATAAGCTTGTGGGGGATATCATCCACCACCTTTTTTCCGTGACCTGAAAAATGATAATAAGGGGTGAGCACAACAGCTCAGTAGGAGGTGCCTAAAACGCACTCCTTAATGATTTCGTGAATCACATTCAAAGCATAGAATAAAGGAAGAGGGTCATGCTTATTTGGGAAAAAATACTCATCATCATGCAAATCCGACATAATCTACAAAATGCAATACAATGCTAATGCAATGCCAATGTCGTTCCCCATTTTTCAAATAAAATCTTAACCAACGCAACTACCATCAAACTGTTAATGTAACTTGGCCCGAGGTGACTCCCCGGCATAACGAGAAAAGGATTGGCCAACTATACATGACCTAAGGAATTCCTTAGCATTATTTAGGGCATAGGTAGCTCAACCACACACAAAACAGTCTCCCTACGTTCTCTCTAGGTCTTGGTATCATCGCATATTATAACAGTTTTCAACATGACAAAGTATGGAATTTTCTTAATATTAGGGTTTTATTTTAGCAATTTTCTTTCTTAATATTAAAATTTTTGTTCTCAATGGGTTTTATTTTTCTAGAAGCAAGCCCTTTCAGTCGCTTCGTTTGAAGTAGAATTCCACACGATTTGTGAATCCCAGTTTTCGCCACTCCGGGCTTCTCACAAGAGTCAATATATATAGGGTCCAAGTTAAACATTTTATGGGCTTGGAGTTGTGGGCCACTAAAATATTTTATAGACTTGGGTCGGAGGACTAACTGATTTTTATTTTTTATTTTTTTTCAAACTCACTACAAAGAAAGGCCCAATCCAACAGCTATTTGTAATACCCCATTGGGCTATATAAACTCTTTGTTCAAACAAAGAAATGTTCTGTTTTTTCATGTCCATCAATCAACATGAGACTGCATTCTTAATATTTCTTTGACTATGAATAAGAGGAGTTTCAATTTTTTCAAATAATCTATTTTTCCTCTCCTGTCAGATAAAATACATATTTATTTTTTTTGATAACCGAAATGTCATCCTTGAGACCAGTCTCAAATATTTTTTTTTGTGTGCATGGTAGATTTGAGAATGCATATCTTCGGTAGATATAACCATCATCGATAAATTTTTTTTATAATTTTGAAAAGATGAGCGGAATGTCTCACCCAAAAATTGGGCTTTGATACTTCAAATTATTGACATTGAAGTAGTTTCATAATTTTAATATTCAATGTTGGTGATTAGCTCCCTTTTTTACAAAAAAATATATTGGATCTTCTGTTTGGGTCATAATTTAGTGACTAAGAAAAGAGTATACTTGTTAATGAATTGGTTCAGCCTTGGGACATACGTCAAAATAATAAAACAGAAAATGTTGATTTGACAGCTATTGTTATTATTTTTCCTGATAAAAAAAAAATATATATATATATACTATTGTTATTATTATTATTATTAACGCTTTATCTAATGAAAATATTTTGGTCATTCAGCTGTCGACTACTATTTTAGATTTCATGGTAAAATTCACCATTCAACTATAATAATCCACATTAAAAAGTGTTATCTTTACGTCGAAGAAACTTCTTTATTTCTTTTTTTATACTATTTAATTCTACAGAATTCCAATTCTGCCGACCCTAGTTTTGGGTTGACCAAAAAGAAATAATTCATATGGAATTATGAAAGTGCCATTTTTGTTTTTCTTCATCATCCAGCAGATCTCATTGATGAACATGAAAAATAAATAATGGTAGGGCAAAGTGAGAAAAATATCTTTAATATTTTAATTTTGGACAAACAATACTCTTATAGTTTCTTTTGGGTATATAACTCCGTTAATTTTTTTTAAAAATGAACAAATAAGAGTTTATGTTATGTATATAAGTTTGTTAAACCTGAAAAATGAGCAAACATAGGTTTCGAGTTACTATTGAGATATAAAATTCTAAAAATACCCTTGTCTCTTCCTATAATACCCTTATAAGAACAAAGTGAGAAAAACACCCATAATATTTACATTTTGGGCAAATAACACCCATATTATTTATTTTGAATATATAAGTCCATTACGTTTGAAAAATGTGGTAAAGAAGGACTTGATGTTATTGTTTCGTTAAAAATATAAAATTTTAAAAATACTCTTATCTCTTCCGATAATGTCCTTATATACATATATATATATATAGACACACACACACACACACTTGTCACATTTAATTAGTTTTTTTACCTATTTTTTATTCAGTTGTAGAAGGATATTTTAGAATTTACAGCATTCAGGTTTTTGTTTGCAACCAAACTAAATGTTCAGGAAGTTTAGAATGTATAGGGGGTTATATACTCTATATGCATACTATATGCTACGTTTGGTGTGCAGGAATATAATGGAATGGAATGCCCATTCCAACCATTCCTTTATTTGGTATGCAATTTAAAGTGGGAATGGCCATTTCATTAGAATGAAAATCCATTCCTGAGAATAAAAATCCATTCCATAACTAAACTTATGGAATGACCATTCCATTCCTAAGTAATTTATTTTTAAAAATCGACTTCCCAAAACACCCTCATATTCTAAGTCCAAAATCCACCATTACCTTCTACCACAATCATCTCCGCCTTTCACCACCACCACCATTACCACTGCCTTCCACCACCACCGACTTTCACCATCGCCCACCACTTTCCACTGCCATTGCCTTTCACCACCGCTACTGCAACCACCACCGCCACCTTTCACCACTGTTATTGCCACCACATTCCACCACCACCACTGTTATTGCCTTTTACCACCTTCCACCACCACCGCCGCCATCGCCTTTCACCATTGCCACCACCTTTCACCACCACCACTGCTATCGCCTTCACTACCACCGCCACCGCCACAGCCCTACATTACCATCGCCGCCTTCCACCATCGCCACCGCCACAGCTACCACCTTCCACAACCACCAACGCCGCCGCCATCGCCTTCTACCACCGCCGTCGCCTTCTACCTTTCACCACCGCCACCACCTTTCACTACTGTCTTTCACCACTACCACCATCGCCGCCGCCTTCCACCACCACCACTACCGCCACTTCTACTGCCTTCCACCGCCACCATAGTCACACCACTATCTCCTTCCACCACAACCATCACACTACTGCCATCGCCTTCCAACACAACCACCTACACTACTACCGCTTTCCACCATCCACCACCGCCACTGCCACCATTTATTTTTAAAAAATTATTAGAGAATATCATTTTGTTATTTTAATTTAATTTATTTGTTACTAAGAGGGATATTTTGGAGAATTCAATTAGAAATTTAATCCATTCTAAATTTTAAATTGGTCTAACCAAACACTAGAATAGTTATTATCATTCCATTCCTACACATTTTATATTTACAACCAAACAATAGAATGAGAATGACCATTCCATTCCATTCTTATTCTCATTCCATTCCCCCTTACATTCTATTCCATTCTTGCATACCAAACGTAGCATAAGAGTATTTTTGTCCCAACCCTATATTATATATATATATATATATAAGAAAGACAAATTTTATTTATTTTTATTTTTATTTTTATTTTTTA